CTTTTCCCTTCTCCCACAAATATATTTCGAAGACAAATTTCGTTNCTTTATCAAGGGACGGCCTAACTATTTTTTATTGGTGTTAATATTTGACCTAAAGCAAAACTAATGACTATATTCTCCACAGCAACTTTTCATACTCTTTAATGTGACGTTGTTAATTTTTTAATTTGACGTTTCGTCTCTGCGGAATCACCATTGATTTAATTTTTTAAAATACGTGTTTAATTTATTGTGTAATAATTAGTACATGTTGATGCAGGACCTGCACATAACTTGAAAAACGTTTGGGATTTCCCGAAAAAGTTGTTAGCACCCAACAGAAGGGAAACATGAAAATGATATTCTGGAATGTAGCGGGGGTATCTGGCAAAGATTCTCTCTCAATTCTGAAAGTTTGTAAGAGGATATGATGTCGTGGGAATGGTAGAATCATGGGCAAAAGAAAATAATTGGAAGAAAATAAAGCAATTCCGTATGAATATAATGTATCGCGAAGAAAAGGGGGTATTTTAACAGGGCTAGGAATAGAGAGCTAGGAAAGAATACAAGTCAAACGACTGAAGAAAGACAATGTGAGCGATAACGATATACAACACAGAAGAAATAAAATAGAAAATATGGTACATGAAAAAAAAAGGGGGAGGGGGGTGTAGATTCATTTTAATGGCAGTATACAGGAAAATGGATAGAGATGGAAAGAGGACCACAATATACAAAATCAAGAGATAATTATCAGAAATGAGAGGGTGAGAGAACCGGTAATTCACATACATGGGAGGAAGAGGGAAGTCGGTAATTGATTACATAATGTGAAATGAAAAATACTGGCGAAAATAGATGAATTCAAGGTTGAATCAAGGATAGAATCTGATCACCAACATATGTAATTGAGATTAAAAGGGAAGATAAGAAGGTCAAGAAATGAAAAGACAACAAGACGAAGGAAGATACAGTTATAACAAGAGACACGGTGGAGAAATAGAAGGATACCAGAAGAATAAGAGGGAACACAGAGAAGGAGTGGAATAAAGTGAGTATTAAAAAAAGCAATAATGTGGAACGAAATAAGTGAATGGGAAAATGAGGGAAAAATTAAAGAGGGGTGGGCCAAATAGTGTATAGAAGAGAGAAATTATTGAAAAAGAAAGAAGGGGGAAAGAGAGAGAACAGAAAAAAAGTACAAAAGAAAATGTAAAAAAAGCAGAAAGAAGGCGAAGAGCAAATCAAGGAAATAAAACATAAAATGATTTTTGGAACGTGATAAACATAGGAAAAAAGAAAAATAGTGGGAGAGAAAAACAATTACAGGAATCTAAAAAAACATTTTGTTAAGTTACAAGGAAAGCAGGAGGCTATGGAATAGGTAGGAAGAGAGGAGGTTGAAGGAGATGAGATAACAAGAGAAGAGATTGATCAGCAATTAAAGACTGAAGAAAGGGAAAGCGGGATGGGGGAGATGAGATAGGTAATGAGTTTTCGCCTCAGATAGGGTCAAGGAAAGGATGAGTCATCTAGTAAACAAAAACAAGGTGTGGAAAGGAGGGGGTTTACCCAAAGGGGTAATCGTGCCTATTTTCATAAGAGAGAACAAAGATTGTGTGGGAAACTATAGGAGAATTACTATAATAACTAGGGCGTATAGGATCTATGGAATGATCCGTGAACGAAAGACTAGAAAATGGGCAGCAGAAAAGGGAGGGGTCGATCGACTGCATATATGTATTACACAGATTGGTGGGAACGGAATTAGAAAAAAAAGGGCGGAAAGGTGTAAAGGACTAAGACAGGGATGCCCATCATCCCAACCGTATCTTCATGCGGGCGCCTGTAGGAACGGAAGAAACAAACAAAGAAATGGATATGGACGGGATGAGGTCGAAAGCAGGAGAGGAGTACGATAAAAGATGGAAAATGCGCTGGCAAAACAACATGACGTAGAGGGCGTATGCGAAAGCAGTAATTATAAACACCTAATAATAGAATGGTTATTAAAATATTTGTGGGAAGGAAGTAAAAATATTAAAACAGTAGAGAGATTCAGATGAGCAGATGAAGAGAGAGAAAGAGAAATGGAGACAAAAAGGAGATAGAAAATGTAGAATATGCGGAGAGAAAGAAGAGGACATGTTCTGGAACTGTACGGAGGTGGAGATGCCCTTTCATCTCCACCAATAGAAGAGAGATGCTGGATGAGGGGGGAGGAGGTGAGAAGTGGATGACGTGAATTTTAAAGAAAAGAAGGAAGGAATGTTCATAATGAAGCCCGAAAAAACTCTAAACCGCACTTAAACCATTAAGTGCTATTCATAATTGAATTCAGAATAAAAAGGGCTTTACAAATATGGTATAGAAATATCAGGGACGTATTAAAAAAATTAAGTTAATGATGGTTCAACAAAGACGAAACGTCGGATTAAAAAATTAATAATGACACCTTAAAGAGTACTAACAGTTGCTGCGAAGAAGTGTCATTGGTTTTGATCTAGGTGAAACATTAACGTCAGAACAAAATAGTTTGTAAAATCTAAAATCCGATTTGTTCAACATATTCCTAAAGCCCACATATATACAGGGTGATTCCTATAGTACCTGCCACCGTTTGGGAGCGTATAGGGGGTGCCTAGGGGAGTATTTTGATATAAGACACTTGGGGTCGGAAATCTAAAATAAGGGCGCCAGAACCAAATTTATCTTCTGGAATTTCACGCCTGTATGTAGGCAACCCAACCGATCGACATTTCGCGCGGAGCGATGCAGAGCGAGTTAGCGCGAGGAAGCGACATGGGAGGGAAGGAGGGAAAACGACAGTCAAAAGCAATAACGTTTACAAGTGTTCAACGTGGCCACCGTTGTTCTCAATGCACTTCCTACATCTAGCCAACTATTATTATACTATTGCCATAGTGTTTATTCACTTGATACGCGTCGTTGCAGACGGGATTTCGTGGGTTTAAACAAAATTCTGATCAAGTGTCAGCCACACATCGCCGCCTGAGATCGCTCCGTGTGCACCGCCGGCCGGTTGGGTTGCCTACCTACAGGCGCGAAATTCCAGAAGGTAAATTTGGCTCTGGCACCCTTATTTTAGATTTCCGACCCCAAGTGTCCTATATCAAAATACTCCCCTACGCACCACCTACACGCTCCCAAACGGTGGCAGGTACTATAGGAATCACCCTGTATATACATATATATATATATATTATCGAAATTTTTATTTAGTCCATAACTTTTGATTGAGAGGTCTGATCGAAAAAGTACGAATCGATTTGGATTCTACGCACCAAAATTAGTGAGAAAAAGTGTTTTCCCGAGAAATTTTGGAGCAGTAGATTTTTGGGAAAAAAGGAAGGTATTATTACACTGCCTTTTTTGAGGCCGGCAAAAAAAATTGTCGCAGATCGACCGGGAAAAAACATTTTCTTATAGAATGTGGCCTATAGAATCCATAATTTCAAACAGTTCCAAGATTGGACTACTAGATCAGAAGTTACAGCCCTTTGAACTTTATAAATATATATATTTATATATATATATAATATATATATATATATATATATATATATATAGTTGAAATTTTTATTTAGTCCATAACTTTTGATTGAGAGATCTGATCGAAAAAGTACGAATCGATTTGGATGGCTTTCGGAGCAATTTGCTCTTGCTTCCTCCTGCGGTCCGACGCCAGGTGGTTTTTAGCGCATCGAAGGCATCATGGTGTAAGCCGCAGTTCACGCTGGAGTGGCCGAATCTTTGGCACGCGAAACACTGGGGCACTTTGCGGCTGGTGCGGAAAATGACTACCCTGGTGACGGCGCGGGTGCTGAAGTGAAGGAAGTGCGCGTCGCGACGGGCGTCCAGGTCGTGTCCAGGTGTCTTCCGGACGTGCTGCCTTAGTATAATGCCGCTGAGCACTTGCATAGGGGCAAAAGGTCGTCTAGTTCCTCCGTTCTGAACGGTTTGCTTGGGCTGCGGTACACGAGCAGTTTATACAGGGGAAATTTTGGACCACTTCAAGCTCGCGCGCCACCTGGTGGCGACCTTGCAAAGTAGCTCAAGGTGAAAGTCACGTGCCACGTGGTGGTTGACCTTGGAAAGTAGGTCGCGGTAAAACTCAAAGGACAAACTCTAGTTTTTATATTACAATTTTTTTCGGGTGTCAAATTACATTTACAAGGTCAATGACCTCAATTGATATGGTGTTAGTTACATTCTTATGGGAATACAAGGTCATTCGCCTCAGGGTGTTAAATAATATTATCATCTAAGGTCAATGACCTCAATCGTGCTGTCTAATTACATTTTCGAGGTCATCCAAGGGCAATGAACCCATTTTTTGTTATGTCAGATTACATTTTCAAGGTCTTAGAAGGGCAATGCCCTCTTCTGGAGGTCACTCAAGGTCAATTACATTCCCGGATTTACCGCCGAGACTTCACGAACTTCTACTTCTCGGACGTGGGGGTAGGATCACTTGATTCCGTGACGATGTCCGTTGGTTCCGGTGCAGGCAGGAATTTTTGTCGAAGACTGGCGGGCGCATCGCAGTTGAGGCTTCGGCAAAGCTCGGCTAATAACGATCCGGAGTGGATCGAACGTTGTCGAAGATGGCCGAAGTGGTTCTTTAAGTATTTAATATAATAATAAATAATATAGTTTCAACCCCTGATCCATCGAACGTAAATAAAATTGAGATCCGTTCGAATCGGTTCGAAAATAAATTAATTGCGAGGGTTAAAATCGTTAACGAATAATTTAAAATTAGGGCGGCCCGAAATTGGTTTCGGAACGGCGTAAACCGCGTCATTGACTCCAATAACTTTCAAATCACGTCCCATTATTGGGATAATAATGCGCGCGTTACACGCTAATGTGTCTAAGTTGCATAAGTTATCGTTCTCTCGTATAACCCGAAGATAACGCTAACGGCAATCTCGCGATAACTTAAGTTTAACATCTTCAAGTGAATATTCAGTACCTTATTAGTTTTTTGTCGTAGAAATCAAGCTGCAGACGAAGCCTCCGACGACGACGTCCACAACTACCCCTACAACAACAACGGAGAAGGAGATCGGTAAGAGTTCTTTTGTATTGTAGCGTTCCCCCCCCCCCCAGGTCAATTTTAATTCATTATTTCGGATTTTCCCCCCTTTTGACTTTCGCTAACAAACGCGCAGAGAAGCGTACCAAATCCGATTCCCTTTTCGAATCCTTCTGGATGTGCCGCGAAGCAAATAAACACAACCGGACCGTGTTCGAGAGGGCAGAAAACGCTCGCGCCGAAAGGTACGAATTAAACGCTCTATTTTTAGAAAGAGGGTATCAAAAACTGAAATCGAACCGGCATAAAACACAGATGCGAGAGGAATGACTGACGTCGTTAAGTGTTTTCGATCATCGCTCTTTCGGCCCCCTTTTTCATCGGGGGTTAATTGAATTCCGTAATGGTTCGCATGAACGCGTCTTTTCTCTGCACAAAAAAAATGGCTATATCATTTGACCACAAATTAGTAAAATTTTTCTTGTTCCAGAGACTACAGTCAGGACATATCTACCGACGCCGCTAATCCTCATCACGGAAGGTACCTACCTCGATAAGAATAAATCCGCCCCTAACCCGGTATCGTTTTGTTTCAGTAAACATCCCCTTAAGAGACGCTCACCTGAATAACTACGTGCCTAGCGCGCGACCCGCTCCCTTGGAGATAGTTCTCACCGGAACCGGATGTTGGGCGAAGGGATCAATCCACCTCCGGCTCTTAGCCCTTCTCCTGGTGATTAGTTATCGTAGGTGACAAGCAAATTTCTAGACAATCGTGAAGGTAGCTCAAATGTGTACATAATTTACGTTATTGTAACATGTGAATTTATGTGCTTTTAATAGGTAGATTTTAATATGATTGTTTTAGTGTTGAAAAGAGTGAGGAATAAATGTATTGGTGCTATTAATCGATGTTTTAATTTTCTGCAAACCAAACTATCGCAGTAACTGACCCTGTGCAATTTTTGCGGTTGCCCCCTACTACCGCATTGCAACCCGCAACAGTTGCAACGAAAAATGCGAATAAGAAGCCGAACCGTTCGAGACGCATTCGACAAGTTCGAAAATGTTAAATTCTCTGGGCGCAAGAAAAACTTTCCGAATAAATTACCAAAAAACTATGAGATGTGTCGCATCTGTGCGGCTTCATTTCAAATATTATTGGAAAAGATGCGGAATATGTTTTCGCGAGTTCCACGTTGATATTATTTCCTTCTCCTTTACATTTTCAGGAAGTTTACGAAATCAAGATAATGGAACTGCCGGTTTGGGGATCCTGCAAATTTCAATATTTCCCCCATGGCGCACGCGGAATGTAAACAAATTTTATACTTGGAGCGAAATCATTTCGATACATTCATTACAGGCCCTTTCATATTTTTCTAAGTTACGAACGAGAGCCTTTTACACATTTTAAGGACATACTCTGCGATACTATACAGAATGGCGCCTTTAGTTTAAGTTACGGCTACACAAAATCCCGTTTTGTAAATTAAAACTCCTTAAGAACAGCGAGTCGAAAAGAAAAGAGGTAAATTGCAACGCAGGTAGGTAAGACAAAGCAAAGAGTAAGAGAGACACTAAACACGTTAGGTATATTCTCCTGACACAACATTCGCAAAAGTTATATTTTCAACAGTTTTATTGTCTCGTCCTGATGTCCCAGTTAACCTTTATGAGTACCCTCTTCCGATACTTCGTTTTCGAGATATTCACTCTTAAAGTTTTAACATCACTAATCCAGACGTCCTAGTCGGCCTTTGAGATGTAAGGAGTTATATCCGATCAAGTTGAGGTGTCGAGAAGGATTGCAGTTGGTGGAAATTAATTCCTTTCGTTGAGACCTTTCATTAGAGTACCATGAAGGATAAAACCAGTTCCACCCCCCCCTCCCGCCCCCTATTTTGATACGGGGTAAGAAATAAGGGATGTAGTTTCATTAAAATATCATCAAAGATAGAATCCATTTCTACCAACCCCTCCCCTTTCCGCAGGAAAGTTCAAACCAATTCATTTCGATACCATAAAGGGGAGAACGTCTACTACAAAAAATTCAAAGGGCTGTAACTTTTGATATAGTAGCTCGTTCTTGGAACTGTTTGAAATTATGGATTCTACAGGCCACATTCTATACGAAAATATTTTTTTCCGGTCGATCTAAGACAATTTTTTTTGGGGCAAAAACCTCTTCCACTATCATGTTCTCCTGGTAGCCCGACAAAATTTTAAAAGAATTTTCTGATTGTCCCCTCGTGTATTAGGAGCTGAATCACCTCCTCGCACATTATAACCTCCTGATACCAAATTGGAAATGATTTAAAACGAAATTTGGCTTCGAAATATATTTGTGGGTGATGAGAAAAGACCTCCTCAACCATTATGTTCTCCTGGTAGCCGGACAAAATTTTACAAGTATATTCTGATTGTCCCTTCGTGTATTAGGAGCTGAAACACATCCTCGCACATTATAACCTCCTGATACCAAATTGGAAAAGATTTAAAACGAAATTTTTTCTTCGAAATATTTTTGTGTGTGATGGGAAAAGACCTCCTCGACTATTATGTTCTCCTGGTAGCCGGACAAAATTTTAAAAGAATTTTCTAATTGTCCCCTCGTGTATTAGAAGCAGAAACACCTCCTCGCACATTATAACCTCCTGATACCAAATTGGAAAAGATTTAAAACGAAATTTGGCTACAACATATTTTTGTGGGTGATGGGAAAAGACCTCCTCGACTATTATGTTCTCCTGGTAGCCGGACAAAATTTTAAAAGAATTTTCTGATTGTCCACTCGTGTATTAGGAGCTGAAACACCTCCTCGCACATTATAACCTCCTGATACCAAATTGGAAAAGATTTCAAACGAAATTTGGCTTCGAAATATTTTTGTAGGTGATGGGAAAAGACCTCCTCGAGTATTATGTTCTCCTGGTAGCCGGACAAAATTTTAAAAGAATTTTCTGATTGTCCCCTCGTGTATTAGGAGCTGAAACACCTCCTCGCACATTATAACCTCCTGATACCAAATTGGAAAAGATTTAAAACGAAATTTGGCTTCGAAATATTTTTGTGGGTGATGGGAAAAGACCTCCTCGACTATTATGTTCTCCTGGTAGCCAGACAAAATTTTAAAAGAATTTTCTGATTGGCACTTCGTGTATTAGGAGCTGAAACACCTCCTCGCACATTATAACCTCCTGATACCAAATTGGAAAAGATTTCAAACGAAATTTGGCTTCGAAATATTTTTGTGGGTGATGGGAAAAGACCTCCTCAACTATTATGTTCTCCTGGTAGCCAGACAAAATTTTACAAGAATTTTCTGATTGTCCCCTTGTGTATTAGGAGCAGAAACACCTCCTCACACATTATAACCTCCTGATACCAAATTGGAAAAGATTTCAAACGAAATTTGGCTTCGAAATATTTTTGTGGGTGATGGGAAAAGACCTCCTCTACCATTATGTTCTCCTGGTAGCCGGACAACATTTTACAAGAATTTTCTGATTGGCACTTCGTGTATTAGGAGCTGAAACGCCTCCTCGCACATTATAACCTCCTGATACCAAATTGGAAAAGATTTAAAACGAAATTTGGCTTCGAAATATTTTTGAGAGTGATGAGAACGCGACGCGCTGGTCGGATTTCATGCCGGTGGTAGCGAGTAGTGAGATGTGCGTTTTTTTCTTGGGCGAATTGTTTTTTTGTTCAGTTCCGCGGCGTATACGGATTTTGCGGGATACTTATCCTCTGTAGTTAGCTGGATGCTCGCCCATCGAGCTGTTTTGTAAAGCGAGCACGCTTTTGAGGACGATTAAAAGCGCTCGCGGGCGGAAAAAGAACTCACAAGCGAGGGAAAAAAAACGCTCATGTTAATCGCTCACGGCCAGAAGAAAGCGCTACCAAGCGGCCGCTCCGAAAAGTGTTTTCCGCTTGGAGCGCTTTTTCAAGCGAAACGCCCGCGAGCAGTACTCAGCTCTGCGTGACATCACAGCGTTTCCGACCAATGGCGAGCGCGCTACGTTACGTGACGTCACACATCAAATAAATTATTCAAAATCATTGGTTCTTAGAGAAAAAAAACAAAAGGCAATAGCCCTCATAAAATGTCGCAAGTACAAATTTCCAAATCACAAGTAACATGCAAGACAGACAGCGACGAAATAAAGTGTCTGTACGGCGAAGGAGATGGAATAATTGCACCGCGAAATCAAAAGACAGTCGAATTAAAACCGACAGACTCTACGCCGTCGACTGAAATACAGGAAGACGTCGAAATTTTAGACTTCCCCCTACCGTTCAAATCGATCGGACAGCGCAGTTCCCTGACCAACCTGCACGATCTACTCGAACGCTGCCCTCAACCGCAACCGCCCATCACTGTGAAACAATTAAAATCGCTACAACTAAGTCCGGGCATCCCCCTCCACTTTTAAATAATATCTTTGCGATTTCAGACGAGAGCAACGCGAGGATTATGCACGAGCAGGTGCACCTAATAAAGGCCAGCATGGAAAACTTGCAGGAGTACGTCAGGCACTTCTGTTGCACCGAGCAGTTTAGGGATGACGTCGACTATATTGTCGCCAATGTCAGATCTGTAATTGCAAAGTCGGAGGAAAGTAAAACGAATAAGTAGTTCTACAATTGTATTTTAAACGTACAGCTTTGCCATGTCGGCTTTATATCGACTGGTTGTTCCATTGCCACTTCAATAAATTGTAGTTCCCAATCTGAATTGAGCAGGATTAGCGTTTGTGCTCTGCAACAATTTTACATGTAGTTATTTGGGATATACAGGGTGATCCATCTAGCACTACTTCAATCCCTTAGTTTTGAATGGTTGCACAAGCAGAGTCAGTCTCTATGTGAGGGTGATCTGCATTTTGAAGTTCCTCCACTAGAGGGAGTTGGAAAAAGGAGATCAATCCTTAACAAAAGATAGTGATACGTGATGGAGGGAAGGGGGAGTAGTTTTAGTTAGAACACACTGTACAATAATCCCTACCGTGTCCCATAACGCGCTCTTTCCATATTTACAAAAATCGAAGATAGGTCTTCGTACGCGGGCGAACGTCGCCTCAACTCGTCATCGGGAAGAAACCGTTCTCTGCAGTTTAACAACTCCAAAAGCTTCGCGGTGAGCCGTTCCGGATCCCGTTCGTTCGTGACTATCTCCTCGAACATTCCTCGTCCGTTAATGACCTTCTGCAACGGCACGTCGAGAGGCGTGTTACCAAATCCCAACACCTGCCTGCCGACGAACTTCGTACGCGCGCTCGGGCAGTTGCTGGTGTGGTAGACTGTCGTATCGGTTTTGCTTGAAAACGAATTACAGTGCGTGCAGCAAATCCGACCCATACTAACCTTAATTCGGCCGTGACGAAATTATAGGCGCTATACTCGTCCGGTAAAGAGTCAATGTAGGCTTCCGCCGGCAAATCACCTTTCAGATAATTCGAGGTGATGTATCCTCGACCTTTGCCGTTACAGTCCGCCCCGGTCACGTTCAGAAGACTCCCCAGACGTAGAGTTTTGTTCAACGAGACGCCGAACCACATCCCGCCCTCTTTGCCGGGCTGTAAATCTCTACCTACGGCAGGTACGATAACAGCTTTGATTTATAAAATGCAGATACCTCCAATTATGTTCTCTTCGATGGAATGGTAGGCGGAAGCAGTCGGCCTGTCGAAGTATTCGTCTCGGTTTGTCGCAACGATTAGCCTATAACCATCCGAAGGTGGTGAGGGATCAGTGTAGAGAAATAAAATACACATAATTTTAATTCAGAGGCATACACGTAATCTCAAGAGTGAGAAATTCTTGCTCTGATAACGACGATCACGTAACACGTACAGGTTATGTTTTCTGAGTGTACATTGGAACTACAAATGAATAACATTGGAACTACAAATGAATAACATTGGAACTACTACCACAAATAACATTGGAACTACTAGCACAGGGTGCGCCAAAAACCGCAAGAAAACAGTGGTTACAGTCTACTAAATTTCTTCTGGAGCATTTTTCTTAAGCTTCAGATTGTACGTAGGTTGCCAATTGTAAGTATAAGGTAAGTCAACATTTTCAGTGTCGGCTGAGGAACTCCAAAGAACATGAAAAGAGATTAACATAAAACTCCCCACATGGGAAAGGTGATAAAAAAAGGCATCCCAGGCCTGTAGAAGGCTACTGGGCACGTAACTGTTTCAATACATTGTGTAAAGTAAAGGTAGAGTTATAGACAAGCGTTTAATGATTGAAATGGCACCACGACAGCAGTAGCAGCAGAATATGATTTAACAAATTATGGAATTACATGCAGTCTTTCGTCTCGCTCCACATCATACAAACAAAGCAAGACATTTTACAACTAATGACACTCTCAGAGAATCTAACGCATTTAACTGCCCCCCATCTTTGGTTTCCATATTAAAAATTAGACCTACAACTAAACACTCTCTCTTTCTCTGTCTCCGATTAAATTATTGCAATAGAAACATACAAAATGAGGTCTTCGTATACACCTAAACCCAAAGTCCTTCTCCGTAAACTCGTCTTAAATGCATCTCTCGGCGCAAAAACACAACAATAAATAATTAATAAAGATCTGAAACAATAATATTGTAGATATCACCAAACTTAATACTAAAACTAAAATAATAATAATAATGGCAATGTTTACTGTATTAAACACAACTGTTTCCTGAGCTCCGATTCGCTCTCCTCCAGCTCGACTTCGGGCAAACTCTCGCCGTTACCGGCGATCTCGGGCAGGTACGGTTTGTAGTCGAGGCCGGAACGCTCGTAGAACAGGATGTACGCATTACTGGTCTCTATTTTCGGCGCCCTCGTCTTGCTGTAGGCGCACTTAACCGTCGGCGGTTCCGTCTCGTCGACCTGCATCTCCACCTCACTCCCGCTCAAACTGATATTGTCACTTTCACTTACGTTAAACGTCTTCCGCGTTATCAGCGGCGTTACGTTCGCACTTTTACTACAGTATTTGTACTCGTTATTGTTGTTGTTTGTCTCCACCGGAGGAGGTGGTTCGGTCGAACTGTCCGTAGGCACTTCCCGGCACGAGCTGTCGTTGTAACAGTACCAGTGACCGTTCGGATTGCAGGCGTAGGAAATGTAATGGCCGCCGTTTAGCAATCCTGAGTGGCTCTGAAAAAATTGACATACAGAATACTATACTCCATTCTAAAGGTACCTTTACACTATAATTTTTTTTCGAAATTGGTCTATAACTTTTGATTGAGAAGTCTGATCGAAAAAGTATGAATTGATTTGGATTCTACGCACCAAAATTAATAAGAAAAAGTGTTTTACCGAGAAATTTTGGTGCAGTCGATTTTTGGAAAAAAGGAAGGTTATACACTGCCTTTTTTTAGCCCCGAAAAAATATTGTCTCAGATCGACTCGGAAAAAGAAACATCCCTATTCCACGATTTACGTATTATTTCCATATTATTTCCTTATGATTTGTCTTATGACAGCCATAATACCAAAAATAGTATAGTGTAAACACAAATCTAAATGCTTGTTACTTATCACCTTAAGAAGGTAGCGAGTAGAAAGGATAAGGACAGTTTGACCTTCACTGTGATTGGTTTAAAACACGAGTCAGTATTACACTAAAAAATAAAACAAATGACGAATTCTGTCTGTTACTAACTGAAACTGTCGAACTGTCATTAGCTGTCAATTTCAAAGGTCCAAGCAAGCGTGATATCGTTTGATTTATATTTATATTTTTCAAATTTTATGCCGTTTTATATTTTTCCTGTGTGTGTCGATCTTCAAACACAGCGCCATCTACTACCTTCTTATAATGAATACCGTATAGTTGATCTATCTGGATCAAATGTGATGTAAATTTGGTGTTAATTAATTAATGTTTGTTTGCACTATTTTTTTTAGCGCATTTCCACAAAAATAAAAAATAAATGCGCTATTGTGGCCACTTTGTCCGTCCGTCCGGCTGTCCGTCCGTCCGTCCGCTACTTTTGCGACGCTACTAGTTCTTTATCTTAAGAGCTATTGTTCTACTTTTTTCGCTATTTGGTTCGTTATGGTGTTGAGGCTTGCACCAAGGAAGGAATTTTTTCTGCGTTTATTGCTAAAAAAGTTATTGTAAAAAAACCAACAAACCGTTTTTTACATGCTCCATAATTTTACACTTTTGCCGTTTATTAACCATCCTAGAGATCATTTATAATTTTGTATTGTTGTCTGTCGTCTGTCTGTTGGTCTGTCCGTCTGTTCCTTTGCCTGTCTGTCCCTCTCTATGTCCGTGTGAACGATAATTTTGTTTAGAAATGTCCGATCGCTTTTACATCTCCGTTAGTTATGAACTGAATTGCATGAAATTCAATATGTCGCAATGCCAAAAGTTAAGTCGAATCGATTCAAAATTCACAGTGCCCTTTTCGCATCTCGACCATTTATAAATCGAATTGCAAACTTTTTTTCACTTATAATTGCACAAGAGGTTTGTATTTTACCGAGTAAATTTGGGTTGTTTAGGTAATGAAAATCTGTTGCCTAGCAATTAGACGAGAAAAACTGTCAACTTATAAAAATGCGACACCGCAGGTGGAGCATTTTTAGGTTGACAGTTTTTCGAGTTCAATTGCTAAAAGGAAACAGATTTGAATTGCCACAACCCAAATTTACTCGGTTTAAATACAAACCTCGAGTGTAATTCGGCAGGACAATTTAACGAACAAGAAATTCACCAAATTAATGAATTATTGACAGACGTCAAACTAGTCATATGGGAAAGGATAATGCGATTATTGGTTCGAAAATGAATAAGTGAAAAAACCACTAGTGCATTTGTCGCTGGAAAAGTTGCAGGTAACTTTTGCCGCTGTCAAAGTGACAATTTCACTGCGGCTTATGCGATTTTTTATACATTAGTTGAATTGTCTTATAAAAGTATTTGAATGAAATTTGATACATAGGTGCTTGGAATAAAGGAAAATCTAGCGCCAGTTTAAAAATTTTATTTTGCCCATGCGCAGTGCCAACTTTTTTTTATCTATGGAAGCATTTAAGTGAAATTTGATACTTAGGCGCTTGGAACAAAGGAAAATCTAACATTAGTTTCAAAATTTAGGTTTGCGCATGCGCAGTTCCAACTTTCTTATTTAGAAAAGCATTGAAATGAAATTCTTCTTACAAACTGAAATTGAAATAGCACGTCAAAAATGGATTGCTCATGTGCAACGCTATCTTTCATATTTGTGGCCGGATTTTTACGATTTTAATAGAAGTTGCATCTTACAAATGGGAAATGAATGCAAGTAGAAATGCGCTTTATGTAAATCGTTTACGATTGCTTTTTCACTTGTACTTGTTATGTTGTATACTCCTTTACATTTAAACCTTTTTTGACCAAAATATAAAAAAAATTAAAAAATAAAAATAAATTTTAAAAAATAAAAAATTAAAAATTTTTTTTACGATACTTACCACAACGGCATAAAGCTGGTACTTCAAATCGAAACGGTTCTGTCCGTCCAGCAGCTTGTGCTCGTGAAAATCGTGCAGATCCTCGTCGACTACGGGCGAACGTTGCAGGCTCGTCGAAACCAACCGTTCGCGCGCCTTGTCCTTGCTCGACTTCGCGCCGGATTCGTGCGCAACGAGTCGACTGCGTTCGTTGCACATGCTCGAGTCCTCGCCGCCGCCGTGTAGGTGCTCGTCGTTTTCCTCGATCACGCCGGATGTCTCCGCCTTTTGTTCTAGCTGCTTGTGTCGCAAGATCGTCTCCTGTGGAACCGACGCTAGGTACCCCGTCGGGTCGAAGTCCTTAAACGGGAAATTCACCACTTTTTGCGTTTTCACCCACTTGTTATTAACATAGTCGAAACGCTTTAAATGAACGATCAGAATTGGGGGTAACCGCCATATTTGAAGCTTTTTCGTGGCGGGTTGCTTGTCTTGGCACTTGGAACAGTGGTATTTCGCTTCGAGCCGTTCCTCCGAAGTGAACGCTTTAAGGCAGTAGTCGAGATCGATCGGTTCGGTGTGCTGCTTCCGACAGGTGGAAATCGTCTCATGTTCCAAGAAGATTTTCTCTCGGCTACTTTGGTAGCGCAAATGTAAAGCGGTGGGGTCCCAGTCGATCGCAATCCACATCGGAATCGGTCCCGGTTGGCAGACTTTAAACAGTAAGTCTTCGCTGCACGGCAGAGTGCAACCGCGACAAAACTGGGACCAGTGACACAGCGCGCACAGTTGGCCGCCCTGCATTACTGCCTTCAGCGTGAAGGGAAACTCGTATCCGAGCGAATCATCACTGCAAAACACAAGATTGGCGAACGACTTTCGGTTTACGTCGACTTACCAATCGGTGGCGTGGTTAGTCTGATCGCTCTGCGGCAGCGGGCTGAGCAGACGGGTCACCTGACCCCAAACCGCCTCGTACAAGCTTTGACACGTACTCAAACTGCCGCAGCCCAACAGCAGCGGAATGCCGAAGAGTATCGGCTTCGACTTGTGCTGCGACAGGAAGTAGGTCTCCTGTCGCACGCACTTGCGATGCAGCGCGATGAGGTACGTCGGAACTTTACTCTGAACTGTCGTCGCTATCGGTAGCGAGGGCCTTTTCACGTGAAACTCGGGGACATTAGAGTCATTGTTACTTGTCTAAAAATTTCGAAACAATTGAAAGTCAATTCGGTTTACGCGCAATTTCTCCTTCAATTACGGGGGGGGGGGGGCAAACCTCACTAACATCAACGTGTAAATTTCAATTGCGTCTACTAACATGCAAGTCTTACTGCTTTTTTACCGTTGGTACAAAACAAATGAAATGGCTCTAAACAATCGAACATACACAATTAGACCAGTACATAGGTAGGCCATAGAGCGTCCATTAATTCCTTAGATTTTTTTAAGGGTTGTGGGAGATAGAGTAAGGTAAGTAGGGGGAGGGGGGGGGCATCATCCGTTTTGGTGATAGTGGGGGACGTGGAGGAGCGTAATTTGCGCGGCGGTGGGATTCTCGGGATAACTCGAATTTAAAAACGGCGCATGGGCATCGGCGTAGGTACCTGCGGGCAAGTTTTCTCTTTCTTTTTCGGCTTAGAACGTGAAGGTAACATTTTGCTCATCATTTTTGTGATGTTTCAGGTGGCTCCTAGGCCAGGATAGGAAACTATTTAAACTGTAAATTAGGCAGTCTAATAACAATTTTTACCGTAATAAATATTTAAACCTTTGTTTTGCGCCTTATTTGTAGGCGTAAAAAAATTATTAATGGCATTTTCCATAAGAAGTCAATGTGTTAGAGAGAGACTATACCATCGTACCTATGCTTTTTCTCTCTCCAGCACATTGAATTAATATGGAAAGTGCCATTAATACAAATTTGTTTAATAAATGTGATACGTCATCGGTTTTGGGGCGTCGCAAGCTCTTAAAATCCGAAATAAAAAAATCCAGGTCCGTATTTAAAAAAAAATTGAAGAGGGCGCCAAAACCGGAAAGGGGGGATTATCTGACCTCACAGGCGTCTTCTACGTGAAAAGTTGCCCAAAGTAAGTTTTTACAAATTAAAAAAAAAATCATAAATAAAGTAATTACAAGGTATTTTCGAAAAAGCATAACTTCAGTTTTTTCAACTTATGTCCAAAACGAAAAGAGATAGAATCATTTTCAAAGCGCCATTTATTTGAGAACTAAATTTTCTAAAACTTTTCCCATTTAACCGACTTTCTATCTCTCATAGTTTCCGAGATCCCAAACTGGGACGCATTTAGAAGTTTTATGCGCAGCAAAAGTTGCGCGCACCACGTTTCTGAGGGCAAAACTTGGATTTACACTTTCCTTACCATCGTTGAACGTACCTATCTACTGGTCTAAATGTCAAAGAACGTTAAAAATAAAAAAAGTGAATGGCGACTGTGCACAATAAACGACAAATAAACAAAAGTGGCAAAACAAAAACGTGTCCTTGACGCACGTGCATACCTTAAAGCAAAGAATGTTGGGCATGCAAAGGGCCGAACCGCTTCTTACCTCTGGACTTCGGGCCAGCATGCTCTGCACGTTGTCATCGTCATCTCCTAAACAGAGAAAGGTGCAATAAACAAATTAACGAAGTGCACTACACGTACCAGCGCAAAGTCTGTTAAAGGCGACGGGAAGCTCGCCGCTCGGCAACTCGTAAGCGTAGAGCTCGGTCGCGGTCGAGATGTTAATCTTGGCGTCGTCGGCCAGTACGTCCTGAATTTGCGAGTGCGAGACCTCCGCCAATAGGAGCTGGCTCGGCGGAATGTTGCAGAGGTCGTGCAGTTGCGACTTTAACTCGGAATATTTCGCCTCCGAGTTGAGGCGTAGGCCGTACTTGATCGGCGTTTCGCCGCTCAGGTAGATAACTGCAACGTTTGCGTAAGTAAAATAAAGTCGGTCCCCTCGAGGGGCACTCACCGATCACCTCGCACAGAATGAAGCTCTCCATCGGCAGCGGCAGGCTGAGCAAGTTGAACGCGTCGAAACGCACCGACTCGTGACCGCAAGTTTGACAGGTCACCTTACTCTTCAGCTGGCCGTAGAAGAGGTCGGTTATGATCGAGTGGTCTCGGGCGAGATGCTGTTGCCACGCCTCCTCGGCGACGATCATGTCCGGCCGACCGTCGGAGTCGCGCAGTTCGGTGTACTGTTTGCGCGCGACGCGATTTAAATCCTCGTGCAGGGCGTCGAGCAGCCACGCGAGTAGCTCTTGGGAGTCGTGCTGACCACCGCCGCCGAGATGGGGCGCGTGTTTCGTAACGCACCAGCGCAGCTTGAGCGGCGCAACGCTTCTGGTCGAGCCAGTCCACAGTTCGCGGCAAAGCTCGGCGTACCTTTAGGCAAAATATGACGTATCAACTGCAGGGTTTAAAATAACGCAATTCGCGGCTACAATAAAGGATGAGACCTCTAGCGGCAATAAAAAGAAGCTTTCAAACTTTACGAATGGTCACATTTTAACTCCCTGGGAGACTTATATACTTTCGGCTGACTTTCTACAGTGGATCTTCTGTAAATTTTGTAATCACACTGAGCACAATTAAAATTTTTGGACTTCTCACAAGTGCGCTTTAGAGTAGATTTGGAATTGGGGACAATGGCTACATTTAAAATCCCTTGTAGCATTATTGTGTCTTAAGTGCACCCTGATTTCTAAAACGGGATTGCATATTCACACTGGGCACATTTTAAATCTGTGGAACTCTTGTGTTTTAAAACGCTTTTGTTTTTGATGAACGCTCTTCTTACATTACACGATTTGACTGTTTGGGAATAGACCATTTGGTTGCCTGATGAAGAATACAATCCCCCGGTTCCACATTCTTCCCTTGAAATACTTACTGCTTTTGGCACTTGCATCAGACTTTTTAGAAAACGATCATCGAATGTAACACCAGATCATGGAGACCTTTTGAGGAAGGATGTGGAACCGGGGGGTCTGGGGGTATGGAAGACCCCCCCAGTCATTCCATCTAGCGCACGAAAATCTTAAAATAATTAAGTATAGGAAAAGGAATATCAAATCTTTCTCTTTCCTGGGGGGTATTCCATACCCCCCAGACCCCCCGGTTCCACATTCTTCCCCTGAAACACTAGTGCTTTTGGCACTCGCATCACACCTTTTAGAAAAGGGTCAGCGAACATAACACCAGATCATGGGGACCTTTTTTTGAGGAAGAATGTGAAACCGGGGGGTCTGGAATACCCCCCAGCCATTCCCTCTAGCGCATGAAAATCTTAAAATAATTATAGGAAAAGGAATACCAAATCTTTCTCTTTCCTGGGGGGTATTCCACACCCCCCAGACCCCCCGGTTCCACATTCTTCCCCTGAAATACTTAGTGCTTTTGGCAGGAAGAACGTGGAACCGGGGGGAGTAGAGAGAAACGTCGGCCATCTTGAAATCGTGGGCTTGGTCGAAATCGCGAATACCTAACCTAAAATTGCGCATGCGCAAAATGAATTATTGAGCACATGTTTCAACAGCAAGTCCTTCCACAATGAAATAATGATTTAGTATCAAAGGCGGCCGAGCTTAAATTAAAGGGCGATGCACAAGCTACACGATCTACCTACCTTCGCGCAACTTGGCCTCGTGTACCGAGAGGATTCGTCGAGTTTAGCTCGCAAAGCTGCATATCACGTTGAAAATACTGTGTTAACGGTCGAGTATTGGATACTGCTTGAAGGGCCGCATTCATGAAGCACGTATTACCTAAATTGTGTAGTCCGGTCGCACCTGTAAACACGCCTTTAGTTTAGACAGCCGACGATATCCGACCGTTACCCGGTGGTAGGCAAATGGTGGGCCGCCTGTCCATGCTAATCAGTCCCTGATTATTCGTGACGCCCGAGACGAGCGCGCCCAACTCCTCCGGCCAAGTGAGGTCCTTGTTGCGAACTTCCAATAGCAACTGATCGCCGTCTTGTATGCCCAAATCCTGGAGGGTGGCGACTTCGTCCTCCAAGAGTATGGTGTTATCTCTGACATGCCAGAGGCGGACATCTTCGATTCGTAAACCTAGCCGCAGCGAGAGAAACTCGATCACCTGTCGCACGTTCGCGAGACGACTGAAGGCGGCGGTGTGCGCCAAGTACCGCCTCGGCGAGCCAACCGGAGAGGTAATACCGGCAGTGTTGAGAGCGGCCGCCCCGTAACCGCCTACGACGCTCGTCCAGGTCCCGGATGAGTTACCCGTCGGGGTTTGATGACGTAAAATGCCTAAATTTAGTGGATAAAGTTCCAGTTCGACCTCAATACTGGCCGTGGGTCGGATAACTTGACGAGGCAGAGGTAGGGGGCCCCCGTACCACAGTGCTAAAGCTTTCCAAAGCGAATCAGGTACCAGAATAAAATCGCGATGTTGGACTAGCGGCCGATCACGTTTGAGACGCCCCCCTTCCCCCGTTAACGTAGCCACCTTCAAAAATGACTCGGTCACTAAGCAAGTGTTATCGATCGGCCCCGGCCCGCCCTGATTCCGCTTCGATCCGCTACTCGAACTGCTCGACACGCCGGAACTGGACGCTATGCTGCACGTGTCACCTTTACTCAACAAGTCGCCCATCGAGTCGGTACTGTTCGAGGTAAACTCATTGGAATGTGACGATATGTAATCGGTACTATTGCTCGTGAAACTTTCGTCGCACACGATCCCCTCTTCGATCGGCAATCGCTGCTCCAATCGACAGGCGCATTGGTCGTAGCTCGTTCGCGACGCCGTCGTGTAGCTGATCCAGCTTTGCCACCACTCGGTCGAAATCAAATACCAAAATTGCCCGACACGGTAACCGCGCAACTCCTCTCTCGTCAACCAACCCATCACTAAAATCGAATATTAAATAAATAATGTACGATTCATGCCGTCTTTGTTCAAAACTGTTAGACAATAAATCCATTATTATTATTATTATTAAAACAACTGAACCCACCGGAAAATCGTTACTGAGGGGTCTATCGCCATTGGATAATTATGAATATACAGTGTGTCTATTAGAATTGGGCAACAAAATCGATTAATCGATAATCAGTTAATCGAGAATCGATTATTTTTAATAACTGGACCTATCACAGTTGTTTTGTTAACCAATGCCGTTTATTATTGTTTTAACGTATAAAGGTTTGTTATGCTTGATTGTTGTGTCGTTGGAATAATCTAAAAAGCGAAAAGAAATTTGGTTCGGCTCAAAAAAGCACCAATAATAATGATAATAATAATGATTTATTCCCTACTTCTGTACAAACAGTATAAATAAAATTATAAAATAAACAAAAGAAACCTATTACGTATTAGAGGTGTCGGGAAGACAATAGAGCATTTATACAGTCACTAAAAAATAATAATTTTTTTTTCCTTCTTAATAATGTGAATAGAAATAGAAATAATATGGATGATGAAATGTGAACTAAGGATTGGTATCATGAAAGCTATAGAACTCTTTTAATGAGTAAAATTTCTGTGTTCTACAGGTCACGTTCTATAAGAAAAATTTTTTTCCGGGACGATCTGAGACAATTTTTGTTTCGGGGCTCAAAAAAAGGCAGTGTATAACCTTCTTTTTTTCCAAAAATCGACTGCACCAAAATTTCTCGGGAAAACACTTTTTCTTATTAATTTTGGTCCGTAGAATCCAAAACAATTCGTACTTTTTCGATCAGACTTCTCAATCAAAAGTTATAGACCAATTTCGGAAAAAAATTCAAAGGGCTGTAACTTTTGAACTAGTAGCCCAATCTTGGAACTGTTTGAAATTATGGATTCTACAGGCCACATTCTATAAGAAAATTTTTTTTCCGGGTCGATCTGAGACAATTTTTTTTTCGGGGCAAAAAAAAAGGCAGTGTATAACCTTCCTTTTTTACCAAAAATCGACTACACCAAAATTTCCCGGGAAAACACTTTTTCTTATTAATTTTGGTGCGTAGAATCCAAAACAATTCGTACTTTTTCGATCAGACTTCTCAATCAAAAGTTATAGACTAGAAACCAATTTCGAAAAAAAATTCAAAGGGCTGTAACTTTTGAACTAGTAGCCCAATCTTGGAACTGTTTGAAATTATGGATTCTACAGGCCACATTCTATAAGAAAAATTTTTTTCCGGGTCGATCTGAGACAATTTTTTTGCGGGCTCAAAAAAAGGCAGTGTATAACCTTCCTTTTTTACCAAAAACGACTACACCAAAATTTCTCGGGAAAACACTTTTTCTTATTAATTTTGGTGCGTAGAATCCAAAACAATTCGTACTTTTTCGATCAGACTTCTCAATCAAAAGTTATAGACCAATTTCGAAAAAAAAAATTCAAAGGGCTGTAACTTTTGAAGTAGTAGCCCAATCTTGGAACTGTTTGAAATTATGGATTCTACGGGCCACGTTCTATAAGAAAAATTTTTTTCCGGGTCGATCTGAGAAAATTTTTTTTTCGGGGCAAACAAAAAGGCAGTGTATAACCTTCCTTTTTTCCAAAAATTGACTGCACCAAAATTTCTCGGGAAAACACTTTTTCTTAATATCCTAATTAACTTTTTCTTATATATTAATTAATATATCGATAGTCCCCTTTTTAGTCCTTCTCATTGTATAGGTTGGTAAGCCTCCTCCAAGGGCACCTCCAAAAATGGGTGTACTTTACGTTTGTACCATCATTTTGGGGAAAAAAATACGATTATCTTTCATCTTGTTTGCTTATATTAGAGGACCCTACCATAAAAATCGCAATCAAATTGCTCCACAGAAAGTATTGCGCATGTGTAGTACGATTCTTTGAGGTTAGGTTAGATCTGGTCCACGATTAGATTAGGTCGAGACCTTTCCAAAGACACCCATGAACCCCCACCTACGACGCACCGTTCTCGAGATATCGCGGTTTAAGCGTTTGCGCTGCCCAGAAATGAGAGTACAGACAGACAGACAGACATAATCGAGATTTTGTTTGTTTCGGATTTGTGGTGCTTCGAAACGTTATTTCCGTAAAAACAGTGGGGGTGCTAAAAAGATAATAATTGTCAAATGTCACAAATTGCTCCATAAATAAAAAAAAATGCGCATTGCGCATGCGCGATTTTTACGCATGCGTTTTGTTTGATTTTGTTATTAATCAATTAATCAGAATAATCGATTATTTTTTCCAAAGTTGCCACTTTAAGTAGACACACTGTATAATCTACCCCTCTCCATTCCTTGGGAGAGGAATGCTCGGAAAAATTTCAGACCGTGTAATACCAGTGGCGTTAGGCCCCTCAACCGATACATACCAATTTCGTACTCGTGATGTCGACAGAGCGGCTTCAAACCCAAAGAAACGTGGCAGACCTCGAACAGCAGCTGAAGTAAAGGCGTAATTAAATTATTATCGTCGATCCCCCAAATTAGGAAGTCCTCCTGGCTCAAGGATCCGTCCGCCGTTAAGCGCTTTTTCAAATTATCGATCACCTTCCAGTAGAAATCCTCGCAGTTGTCGTCGCAATCGTGAGTGGCCAGCGGCGCCTTCGGCGACTTCTCGATCAGATTGATCTGGTGCGGCTTGGGCGAGTGCTCCTTGGCGACGAACGTGAGGATATCGACCATGTTTTGTAGCTCCTTCATGTTCAAGTAGCCGTCTTGGTCCAAGTCGAATATCTTGAAGCAGAATTTGATGCGTTCGGCCGTCGGGCCGCGACACGCCGCCGAAATTCCGCAGCACAGCTCCTTGAAGTCGACGTGACCGTCGCCGTTCACGTCCAAAGCCAGGAACAATCTGGACAATAACGTTTTTTGTAATAGTGCTGTACAGGGTTCTTATAGAAACACCCTTTATTTTAAAAAATATAAAAAATGGATCTATAATAGGTGTCTGGGGCTCAATTTTAAAGAGAAAATCAATGGCGCAAACAGAATTCACTTATCTCTAGCGTTTGGCCACTAGGGGGCGTTTCTCAAACTATGTTTTTAAAGTCACTAGATATAGAAAGTACCGCAATCATCCGCCATTTTTGGGCAAATTTGCTGCCAACTTAAAAAAATTGACAAATAAAATCTGAATAGCTGTCATTTTTTATAACCTAACTTCATAGTACTGTCATGTTTTATAAAATTATATACAGATATCTCCAAACAGGTGGAACGCTCCCTAACATTAAAGTTACTAGAATCTGGTAACTTCCGCCATGTTTGGGCAAAAATCAAGCGTTCTCTCTCTAACACACGAGCCCAATGGATTGCGGTACTTTCTATATTTAGTGACTTTATATGTTTTGTTGAAAAGATGACACTACTTCCATTTATACAGGGTGTCCCATTAGTGTGATACCGAATTTTGACAGAGTGAAGTTACAAAACAGTTGAAATACAAGATTTTTGCTGGTTTATGTATATACAGGGTGCTACATAAATGTGGTCTAAGACACAACTTTGTTATTTTAAATCAAATACCATTCTATTGCAATAATTACAATTTCCAGTGTTGTCAAATTTTCGAAAAACCCTAAAGTAAGTGTAAAGCTTAATTTAAGCAGGAATAACTTACCCCAGACAAGCACTTGTGGGTACCGGGGGACTGGCCAAGCAACTAATGCAAGCCAAGTCCAACTGACGACACGGCGACACGGCAGAAAGCGACCAAAAGCACTTCTCTAGCTCGCAAATGTCCTCCTCTTCCAGATGAGTGACGCCGGCTAACGTTTGATAAAACGTTGGCGTCTCCAATTCGGAGCTCAGCGACACGGACGAATTCGTCAACAGCCATTTAGAGAGGACGGTGGCCTCCTTGTTATACTGAATCCAGGCGCGAAAGTGCTCGAAGGTTACACGATCCTGCCCGACACCGAACAGCGAGATGATCGTGCGATCCCACCAGAGGTTCGGATTGCTTAACGTCGACGGTAAGGCGCCCTCGGTCTGTAGGGAGCTCTGAAATTCGGCCTTCGTGATGTGAGTGCCGGCGTCGTTCGAATACAAAGTCCACAGGAACTTGATCTTCTCCTCCTGAGTGCCTTTCGTTAACAAGACGAGTCCGCAGATCAAGTCGCGTAGGGCGATTCCGCGCCCGCCGCCACCGCAGGCCGTATAAAGCCAGTCGGCTATCATGGGGGGAACACCATCGCCGAGGACGTTCTGCGTGAACGATTGTCTGCTGAGTAATTGATTGCCGTTCGTTAGCCGTTTAAACGCCTCGCATACGCGCTTAAACTCGGCCTCGGACACTAAAAAACGAAGAAACGGGGACGATAATTATTTATTTACATCATTTTTACATCACATGATGATAGTCGAGAAGGTTAGGTTGCTGTTATCGTCCTCTGTTACTTACTGCGTTTCACTGCATCCTCGTAGATTAGACAGGAACGTTTTGAGTCTTTAGCACCCATTTTTTCTTATTAAAAAGTATAAAATTCACATTTTCGCAGCAAAAAGACGTTCTTTACATAACACATACAAATCAACTGTCACTTCATAACACATCCCTAACAATGTTGCCAGGTTTCAAAAATATATGCAATTGCGACGTTGCCTAAATTGGAAAATTCAGGCTTGATGACGTTCTCTGAAATGTGTAGAAGAGAACAGAAGGGAAGACAGACAATTCGGCGGTTCGCAATTAGCCATGAAAGTTCCACTACCTTGCCACAAAGCTACACAAGAAGAAGGAATAAAAGAAAACCGACAAAGGAAGAACAGGAAAATGCAAATGAAGGTATGAAAGGGCGTGAGAGGGAGAACATATGAAAGCAGAAGAGAGTAGGATGGATCCAGGGAAGACAAGAGAAGGCGGTCAAAGAGGGGAAGGTATGAAAGGGTAGTCGAGAACAGCAACAAGCCAGAGAGCACATGAGAGGCAAACATCGGGCAGTAACAAGGCGAATGCAAGAGAAGAAGTGGAGAAGACGGGAGACATTGGAGAATTGGAAAGAGCAGGAGAGAACGATTAGCGAGGGGCAGAGGATAGCAAAATGTTCGAAAAGGCAAAAAAGAATAAAAAGGAGCAGTAAAAGGAAAAACGAGAGAGGAGTGGGAGAAGCGGGAGAGAAGGTGATAAGAACAAGATTGAAAACCGGAGAGTGTTAGTAAGTGGGGAAGAATGAAGAGAATAGAACAAGGCGGGATAGAATTAGAAAGGGAACAAATGAATGTACGAAATAACAAAAGAAGCGAATGGGAAATAGAGGAGAGCACATTAGCAGAACAAAAGAAAAGAACAAGAGACACGAAAATAAGATCGAAAAGGGGAGGAAAATAGGAGGCTTGGGGAAAAAGAAAAGGAAGCAAAGCAGCGTACAGAGGAAAAAGCACGAATAATGATAGAAGGAGACAGAAGAAAACATGAAAGAGTTATAATAACTCACATAACGTAGGGAGATGGCTTTGGAACCGGAGATTAGCAAGAAGTGGTGAGTACAACAAATCAAACACACGATACGCTGTTTTTATCTTGCGCCCATTCTTCCTGGGGTTACGGGGGGAGAAGATAAGAGGAAAAAACGGATTTGAGATGGTAGGAGTGCGCATGAGAGAACATCAAAGGAATGCGAGGGCAAAGGAAGTGCGGTGACATACCCCTACGCTTCGGCAACACACCTTACACAAAAAGACCGTCGGTATACACCGCGTAGGAGTTCTATTCGTGCCATCCAGTCCAACTTCGACTGCTGCCGAAATTTGAATGGCGAAACGTCGTTATTCGAGAGATAAAATCTCAGAGTAAGAAATAAAGATGATGGCACGCATAGATAAGCATCAAGGCATCTCTATCTTTATTTCTTACTCTGAGGATAAAATGACATGAGGGGATAGGATACGACAGAATAGGATCATGTGAAAGCGCAGAAGAGAGCAAACGAATAAAGAAAAGGACAAGGAAGAATACATAAGAGAACAGAAAAAAATACGAAACATAAAAAAAGGCAACAGAGGACGAGAGGGGGCAAGAAAGGGCATAATGATGGATAGGAACAAAAATTAAAGACGGAGCAGGAGAAAATAGAAAGGAGTGGGAGTGGATATGCGAGGGTAGCGTAAGACAAAAGCGAAAATGTATGAGAAAACGGTATAAGACAGAAACTGGGCAAAAGGTAGGATAATATAGGAAAGTGAGGGGCAGCATATAGACCTGTGGAGTGAGGGTCAGAGAAGATTGGAAAATGTAGAACAGAACAGTACATGGTAGGAAAGAGCATGAAAACGTACGAGAGGTCAGAAGTAGCCAGTAGAGAAGGCATAAAAGGCGTATGGAATGACGGAAGAAGGCAAGCAGGCGAGAATATAAGCGGGCAGGGGAGGCACGAATGAAAAGGGGAGAGCAAAAAGGGGAAGAGGACGAAGGATATTACATAAGAGGTCGGGTAAAAGTAAAATAAGATAGATTAGAACATGAGACATAGAGGAAGGAAGATTGCAAAAGGACTGGACCCTCTTCTGCCAAAGTAAAAGAACTAAACAGGATGGTGGCACAAATCACTAAGTATGACAGGTCCATCGAACAAGAGAATTTATTTAATGTACATATCGCAAAAGTGTATAACTCGGTCTGTTTCTGTTATTCATTTCCATGTTCCTTACAATCATTGTCACCTGTAAAAACAAAAAAAAACCGTCAAACAAATGAATTTGAAATATTCCACAAAGGAGTTGAAATTGGTAGGCAACCAATGATATCAAAATTACAAAATGAGTGAAATTGAAAAAAAAATGTCCGACTTACAAACGTCCATTCGTGCTTGACTATGATCGGCGTAAAATGATGGCGCGTCCGCGCACACTTCACATGTAAACAGCCCGCTCGTTTTCAAACTGATCGATTCCAAAACCACGGTTTTGTCATCAGACATGGTCATCTGAAGCAGGACGAAATATTATTGGGTGCAGGTACACCGTGTTAAACACTTACATTAACCCTAATCCCATCGGTACGAAAGACTTTCCCCGGGGGACGTTCACCCGGAACAAATCTGTAGAACTCCGAGCTATCCTTGTACCATTTGATCGAGTACAACGGGTCGTTCCCGAAATCGTAATCGCAGGTCAGTTCGACGGTATCACCGGGAGAACTCCATCGGGACACGTTCACTTGCACCCAGTTTGAATTGGATGCTGAAAGTTGGTTATCTTACAAAAGAGATAGCGGCTCTGGACATAGTCCATTTTTTATCTTCAGTAGGACTTGAGTAAATCAATTTGTAATTAAAATAATGAGCTTACCGAGAATGCATTCAACACTTAGCACGTAAGAGAATACAAAAACAAACCAAAATTTCATTTTGAAATGTATGAGAACTGGTCCGGCACTCGCCCTCGTAGTTCTTTGGGTCGGATATTTAATGGCGTTGGTCTCGGGCTTTAGTTCCTGCAATTTGCCGCCATGGCTTATTCGGCACCATTGTAAGTCCCCTCTTCCTTCCCCTCATGGTACTATATTTATCGCCTCTCTGCTCTGAATCAATCAGCCAATAAAAAAACATCCCTGGTGCGTTACGGGTCGTCGTCACAGGAGTGGAGTACGCGATCGGTGTTGATTGGTGGCTGCAAGTGGATTCCGATTTTTCTGAAATGAGAGAAAAAGAAGGCAGTAATTGTTTCTTATTAATTACCACCCGCACGTTAGTAAGGGAGGTATTGCGTTTGGGTAAAAAATTACTCCCTCACTATTTTGACGGAAATGCACGTTTCGAAGCACCCAGGAGTTCGAATCAAACAAATTCTCGATGATGTCGGTCCGTCTGTACTCTCATTTCCGGGGAAACCGATTGGAACCAAATTTGGTGCACATACTCTTAGACATAAAGGGGCAGGTATCTGTGCTAGCCAGAGCAAATTATCATATACAGTTTGCATTACCGGATGCTGTAAAAGGGAAGTTGTCAAGAAGTTCCTCGAATTCCTGGGATAGGTCTTCCAGTACTTGGGTTAGGAGTATGAGAGGGAAATTCCAATTTCTTTTTAGGTTTTTGAGGAAGGGGTCCGCCAGTGACGGATTTAGTGCAAGGGATCTTTAGGATTTCTTTGGTGGGTGGGGTGTCATGTTCTTGAACCTAGCAGAGGAAAGTCAGCAGAACACAATCAAACATATTGCATAATTAGGTGCTAATTAAGTGCCCTATTCCCGAATTAAATGCTCCTTTTTTTTTTAATTATTACATGTTCTGCCACGTTCATATGAACTCAGCAAAACACTACCTTTAAAACCCAAGAAAATGAAAAGTGAACTAACTATAATTAGGTGCTAATTAGGTGTTAATTAAATGCCCTATTCCCGATTTAATGCTCGTTTTTTACCATTGTGAATGCGGTCGGTGGCGGCGACACATTCTACGTGTTGGAGGTGGGCCGGAAGAATTAATGGCGTGGGGGAGGAAAGCGGCCCTAACGAGTAGGGCTGTTGCACGTGCTCCCTAGAGGGAACCGATAGGTTTTGTAGCCTCTGAAAGGTTGGTTTCAGTTATTGAACGGAAGGACCGGTCGCGAACTGTGATCCTCTGCTTTTCTTCGAGTACTCTTTCAATGGTCCCTCTTATCTCCTATTCTCACCTGCATTATCCTATCCTTGTCTGCCCCCACCTGCTCTTTGCTACCTGCTGTATTTTACTCCTTCCTGTCCTTGTATCCCGTTTGCTGTCCTACAAGTAATCTTTTGGGAAGCTATTTCGCAAACCTCCTCGGAAATTTGATTCGAAACCAAAAAATACACCTGGAGGCGATAGGGATCGAACCGTAGTCCATGGACCGAACCTGACCTCAACGGCGGCGTGTTGTGTTGCGGCCTAAAAATAAGCGTAGACAAAGGGCTTTCCCAACGAGTCATTGTTCTACTACTATTTTCGGTTTAGGCGTACTTATTAAAATCACGTGGTCATCGCGTTGTTTGAAAACAAAGAGAGGCGGTCACGTGGCCCGCGTTTTTTTTTTGGGTGCGTTTTACGTCGCACATCTTCTTGCACTTTTGCACCAACAAAGAACTCCGCCTTTGGCGATCCGCCAAAGACCTAATAACATTTCGAACAAATTGATCGCCCGTTCGCGATTAGCGCAATTAAAAATCATAAGACGAACTTTGCGTTTTGCCAAGCAATTCCATGTGCGGTCGGTCGATGGTCGAAAGGCACAATTAAAAAAAGCGAGTCCTTTGTGCTTGCTGACGGTCGATGTTTTCACGCCGAGATTTTCGTAATGGGTGTATAAATAATCTCTCGAAAATAAACAGAGGAATAGTTGCAAACAAGATTGCAGCGTGAACAGTTTGTGCCTAAACTCGCAATTATTTTTTTAAACGTACACCCTCTTCGATTGGGGTAGTTTACAGTCGAAAGGCGACACCCTTAAGGACAGCGTAAAGGTCGTTTCAAGGTCAGTTCAAAGCCACGACGCAATTTCCGAAATGCCCGCGGAGTGTATCGCGAATCCTCTCCAAAGGGAATTGGCGGACTGCATCATACGCATGGTGCCTTTGGACGAAATTCGGATTTTATTGGCATGCGGTGCTAAGGTGAGTTATCTTTGTCTCGCTGGGAATATCTATAATGTGCCCGCATCAGGTTAGCGAGCCAGTTACCCAAGGACTTACCCCATTGCACTACGCCGTCTGGCAACGGTACTACGAGGCGGCGCAGCTGCTGCTGACGAGGGGTTGCAACGTCAACGCGATTGACGAGTGCGGTTACAGTCCCCTGCACTTATCCGCCGAGCACGGTTACACCGACGTCGTCAAGCTTCTGATCTTGTCGGGGGCCAAAGTCGATTACCGCGAAAACACGGAGGAGCCCTTTCCGAGGACGACGCTCTGCGACGAGCCTCTGCGCATGGCCATCCGAAACAAGCACATGGACATCGCCAGACTGCTGCTGGAAAACGGGGCCGATCCGAACAAGCGGTATTTTTTTGGATCGGAAATCAACCTCGTCAACGACCTGGAGTACCTGGAGCTTCTGCTCACGTTCGGCGCCAACGCGGACAGTCGCGATCGCGCCGGACTAACCCCGTTGATGAAGGCGGCCAGGCAACCTCAGGGCATGGAGGCGGTCTTGTTGCTCTTACATCACGGTGCCGACGTAAACGCGGTCGCCGACGAGCGTCACGATTACAGAACCGTCCTCCACTACGCCGTCCTTTCCGGCAACATCGACATCGTTAACCTTCTGATTAAGCAGGGGGCGAAGTTAAATTACGACGAGGAGTTCGATCTAGGCAAACCCAGCCCACTCGACTTGGCAATCCTCAAAGGCGACCCGGAGATAATTCGTCTACTCGTACAGTCCGGTAAGTTCGCACACAATTTGGCACCGAATGACACTCTCCGTCAACAGGCGCGAATGTCAACTGCAGCTCATCAATTATAGGATCGCCGCTCCACGTCGCCTGCGCCGATAACATCAGCAACCGTTACGAAATCATACAGGTGAGCCCACTCCCCTAAGTGCTCTCCCCCTAACCACATTTCTGGCAGATGCTCCTGAAGGCCGGAGCGGATCCCAACGTGAAAGTCTTCAACGACTCCGAAAATCGTAACTCACAACTGAGATCGGTTCTGGCAGAATACCTGGCGAGCAACGAAGATCCCAACGTGACGATCGTCAACATGCTGCTGCGGTACGGCGCGAGGGTGAGTTTCTTCGAGCCCAAAAAACGCGCCGCCTAATTCCTCAGCTTTAGGTAATAATGAAGACCCAGTTTCGCGATCCGGACGGTATACTCAACTCTCTGCAGAACGTGGTCAACTCGAAGTCCGAGCAGCTCTTCTATCTCCTAGTCGAGGGATGCGAGTCCTTCGACTCTTGTATGATTAGGCGAAATAACGTGATCACCCCCGAGCAGAAAGACGTACTCCTCGAGCTCGCCAAGTGCCCCCTAAGTCTACGCCGACAGGTTCGCCTGTACTTGAGAAGGCTCTACGGGAGGAGGTTGATCGACATGGCGTGCAATTTGGAGCTTCCCCAGTGTCTGGTCAAATATTTGCTGTTTGAGTATCGTTAGGCGTAGGTGGTGCGATGTCGCTTTTTGTGATAATTCAAGTATTACACACTTTTTAACGCGAAAGGGTGGGTATCCGTTACCTCCCTTTAGCATGTGTCTTATAGCGACCTTTCTTTAATGTAGAGATAGCGATTTTATACGTTTGTATCGTATCATTAGACTTAATGAAAAATAAACAATTTTGTATTCTCCAAAGTTGCCCCATAAATTTTAGCTCCGCCCTCTGATGGGAAAGTTTCAAAACAAATTCAAGTCCGCGCATGCGCAGATTTGGTTTTGTAACCACGTCTAAGTACACGAACACTCCGCGATCGCCCGAACCGGAACGAACATAGCAGGGGGGGCATTTCGCAGTCCGAAAGGTATCCTCGAAAATCGAAAACTATTATGGAATCACGATAATGACGACTATTTACAAAATATCGGGCGATCAAAAATAAGTGACTGTCTAGTCTAGTCGCCTTTGTACGAATTTCCCATGTAAACAAAAATTCCAAAGGTAACTAGACGGTCACTTATTTTTGATCGCTATGTATATACATTGATGTTGAATGACAGGTTAGAAAGAGAAGAGAAAAGCGGATGTAGAGGAAATACAAACGGGATTTCGAAGAGAGAAAGAAACGATCGATTGTTTATTTGTAGGTATTGCACCGACTGATTGAAAGAAATGGTAGAAAAGGACGGAAAAGCGTTTTTCATGGATTTATAAGCAAAGGGAAAGGAAACAGTTTGGAAAATTTAAAGAACAGAGTCAGGGAGATATATAGAAAACTAGAAAAAGAGTTCCTCAGATAGGAGAGAAGGAGTCTGAAGATGTCCTGGACATGTAAAAGACTGAGACAGACAGTAATAATGGCACCAGAGGTAGAACAGATGAAGGGAATGATGTGAGGAATGGAAAGCAGTGGCTAAAGAGTGAAGATTTGGGAAAGGAAAGAAGAATGGAAGTGGAGGGAGAACCTTTTGAATACAATAGAGAGAGTGGTGTTGATTTAGTAACGTATGGAACGAAGATGTACGGATTAAAGAAATGGATACGGATAGGAACCGGCCGAAAGGAAAAGAGAAATAGGGGAAAGGGTGAAAGAACTTACAAAAAGAGACCCAGATATAGATGTGCAGCGACAAAAAATCGAGTATTAAAATACAAAGAGGGGATGCCTCAAACTATTAGCGAGGACACGGAAACGACGATAGAAGTAAAAAAAAAAAGAAGAAAGAAAATGCAGATGATGTGGAGAAAAGGAGGACAATTTTGACCATCTGATATGGGATGTAAAAAGGTAGAAAGAACGAGGGAAAACGGGAAAGAAATACTGGTCGAGGGGGGAAAAGAATAATAGAAACGAAATGCAAAAAAATATTATGTACATTTAGAGTCAAAAGTGTTTGCGAAAAGGCGTCAATTATCGAACTAAGATATCGACCGTTTTTTTTTCTAAAAAGGGGGGTATTCCCATGCTACGTTCTCCCCCAAAACGTTCACCCCCTAAGGAGACACGTTATATGGTCCCCTTCTAAAACTAAAATCATCTGGGGGAGAATGTAGAACCGGGGGGTCTGGAGGGGTATGGAATACCCTCCAGTCGCACCACTCCGGTGCACGAAACTCTTACCTACTTCAGGAGAGAGAAGAGAAAGAGAGATACAAAGATTCAACGTTGCTTTTCTACATTTTTCCCCTAGGTGCTTTTAGCACTTAGATCACATTTTTAAGAAAGAGACCATGTAACGTGGGGCCTGGGGGGGTATATAACCCCCCCCCCCGATATACGCACCCAAATTAATAAGAAAAAGTGTTTTCCCGAGAAATTTTGGTGCAGTCGATTTTTGGAAAAAAGGAAGGTTATACACTGCCTCTTTTTTGCTCGAAAGAATCCATAATTTCAAACAGCTCCGAGATTGGGCTACTAGTTCAAAAGTTACAGCCCTTTGAATTTTTTTTCGAAATTGGTTTCTAGTCTATAACTTTTGATTGAGAAGTCTGATCGAAAAAGTACGAATTGTTTTGGATTGTACGCACCAAAATTAATAAGAAAAAGTGTTTTCCCGAGAAATTTTGGTGCAGTCGATTTTTGGTAAAAAAGGAAGGTAATACACTGCCTTTTTTTGAGCCACGAAGAAAAATTTTTCTCAGATCGTCCCGGAAAAAAATTTTTCTTATAGAACGTGGCGTGTAGAATCCATAATTTCAAACAGTTCCGAGATTGAGCTACTAGTTCAAAAGTTACAGCCCTTTGAATTTTTTTTCAAAATTGATCTTGAAGTTTTGATTGAGAAGTCTGATCGAAAAAGTACGAATTGTTTTGGATTGTACGCACCAAAATTAATAAGAAAAAGTGTTTTCCCGAGAAATTTTGGTGCAGTCGATTTTTGGTAAAAAAGGAAGGTTATACACTGCCTTTTTTTTGAGCCCGAAAAAAATATTGTCTCAGATCGACCCGGAAAAAAATTTTCTTTATAGAATGTGGCCTGTAGAATCCATAATTTCAAACAGTTCCAAGATTGGGCTACTAGTTCAAAAGTTACAGCCCTTTGAATTTTTTTTCGAAATTGGTTTCTAGTCTATAACTTTTGATTGAGAAGTCTGATCGAAAAAGTACGAATTGTTTTGGATTCTACGCACCAAAATTAATAAGAAAAAGTGTTTTCCCGAGAAATTTTGGTGCAGTCGATTTTTGGTAAAAAAGGAAGGTTATACACTGCCTTTTTTTTGCCTCGAAAAAAAAATTGTCTGAGATAGTCCTGGAAAAAAAATTTTCTTATAGAACGTGGCCTGTAGAATCCATAATTTCAAACAGTTCCAAGATTGGGCTACTAGTTCAAAAGTTACAGCCCTTTGAATTTTTTTTCGAAATTGGTCTATAACTTTTGATTGAGAAGTCTGATCGAAAAAGTACAAATTGATTTGGATTCTTAGCACCGAAATTAATAAGAAAAATTGATTTTTTACATTTACTATTATACATTTTTCCCCCAGGTTCTTTTAGCACTTAGATCACATTTTTAAGAAAGAGACCATGAACGTTGTGTGAGGGAACGTAACACTGAGGGACCTGGGGGTTATGTAACCCCCCCCCCCCCCGATATACCACTCTCTGGTTCACGAAAATTTTATAATAGTTGTAAGAAAAGAAAAGTTGAATCTGTATCCCTTTTGTTCTCCTGTCTCTGCTGGAGGAGGTAAGAGCATCCTGCAGTGGAGTGCTGTGGCCCCCGGTTCCACAGTCTCCCCTAGGTGCTTTTAGCACTTACACTACATTTTTACAAAAGTTACAATGTAACGTGAATCCTAAGGGGTGAACGTTTTGTGGGGAAACTTAGGACCGGGGGATCTGGAATACCCCCCAGCCACAGCACTCCACTGCAGGAAATTGTTACCTCCTCCAGCAGAGAGAGGAGAAAAAAAGAGATATGGGTTCAATGTTTCTTTTCTTAAAATTTTCGTGAACCAAGGAGTGGTATATCTGGGGGAGGGGGGTATTCCATACGTTTTGTGGGATAACGTAGCATCGGAGGGCTGAATCTTTGTCTGTCTTTTTCTTATTCTTATTTCATACCTCCCAGACCCCTCGGTCTCCAAACCTACTCAAAAATAGAAAGAATAACGGGAGGTGGACTCCATAACTTTTACGTTACAATGGCAGATTTCGTCAAGACTAGGTACACCTTTTCTTTGAATCCACTGATGATGCCATCAATAATTTTGACATTATCATTTATCACCGTGTCTGTTCTCCACCATCGTCTATTAGATCTAGTCTAGGAGTTCGTTGACCTTCATCAAAGCGCCTACTTATGGCATCTCCGAAGCTTAGCTTATCAACTATCTACGCTAGGATTGGGAAATTAACCTAATTAAAACACTGTGTTTGCGGCCTTTAAGCTTCACCGACGATGTCGTTTTCTAATTCGTGCCACCTTTTGAAAGAGTGTTGTGCAAAAAAAATTAATCAAGCGCCTCTGTGACGGACCGTTTTTGGGGAAAGGTGGGAGTTTAGATATAGGGGCCAATTCGCATGTCGTTTTCAAATCTTCAGATTGCGTCGCATCGAAAATTCAAGTGAGTTGAGCTTCTGGTTGAGGGTGTTGGCGAAGAGTAAACAATCGAAAGTGTGCCGCTACTTTCCTTTTTTTTCTATTTGGCCCCAAAATCTGCCCCGGCTGACATTCGCACTATTAAACGATATTATGATATAATATTTATTAAAACCCGGAGATCTTGCATAACGTCATCGTGACCACTTTCTCTTTCACCTCACTTCCTGCAATTACATCTCGTCGTCGCCAGTTTCTTCCTACTTCTCCAAGTGTTGCCACAATGAAAATTGCGGTAAGTCTATCTCGCATCTGCTCGTACCCATCGTTAACATCAATTGTTAATTAGATCTGTCCGCTTGCAATGGGAATAAGCGGCTGAAAATAGGGAACAGTAGCGGCGTCCCCTAAAATCCCGATTGAATTTGGCGTAAAGTGCGTCTGGCGCGACTGTTAGTGACTCGCGGGTTTTTCGGGTACGATTTCCTATTCGCGAGGGGGCCAGCGCGAATTTTGAAACGGTTCCAGGCGCAGTTGCGAGCAAAGGTGGGAAACGAAACGCCACTGCGCGGCTATTAAAAGAAAGTTTTATATACAGAGTCTTAAATTGGTAATTACGTTGCGTGTCAGAAAATCCTATGGATTTTATCGACCCAGTTAAACACGTAGCTTTTAAACTTGCTGTAGAGTTTAAATCGATACAGCGCGCATCTGTTGCAGTTCCACTGAAATGGTCACCTCGCGAGGCTTCATCGAGACGTCGTCGTCCGAAATTTGCCCAACACTGTACATCAACAGCGTCTTGGAATTTTACAACGGCGCGAACGTGCTAATAACGGGCGCGACCGGTTTCGTCGGGAAGGCGCTCCTGGAGAAGCTGCTCAGAACGTGCGGCACGATCGGTAAGGTTTTTCTGCTGATCAGACCCAAGCGCGGCCTGAGCGTGGAGAATCGCCTCAAGGAGCTCCTGAAGAATCCGATCTTCGATAAGATTCGCGAAAAGAACCCCGACTGCCTGGAGAAGGTGGTCGCGGTGCCCGGAGACGTCGGCCAAGACAACCTGGGGCTTACGGAGGGCGACTACAAGTACTTGTGCCAACGGATCGGTGTGGTTTTCCATTCGGCTGCCACTGTGAGGTGAGAGCTCGGCGTTAGGTTCCCCAGAATTCAATTTTGACTTCATAGGTTCAATGAGGATCTGCGAGACGCGGTGCTTTTGAACACGCTTGGCACGAAGCGCGTTGCGGAGTTCTGCAAAAACATCCAGAACTTAAAGGTAAACACGGCTCCCAATCGTCAGCGCTAACGTCAAAGTTTGTAGAGCTTCGTGCACGTCTCGACAGCCTACAGTAACGCCGATCGCAGTGATGTAGAAGAAGTCGTCTACACGCCGGCGATCGATCCACAATCAATCATTAACTGCATGGAGACGCTTCCGCCCGAAGTAATCAAGCTCATCGCGGACAAGTTGATGGTAAGAAACCATCAGCGCTCCAACGAAACTAACCCCAAGTTTAGGGTAGGCACCCGAACAGCTACACGCTCACGAAGGCCTTGGCCGAATGCATCGTCCTCGAATACTCGTCCATCCTCCCGACTGCAATCGTACGACCATCGATCGGTAAGTCAGACGCGCGCCCAGACCCACCCAACTCGTACACTTCCAGTAACCGCATCCTGGAAGGAGCCATTTCCTGGATGGGTCGACAATATCAGCGGCATCACTGGAATACTAATGGAATGCGCTCGGGGCACCATCAAGAGTATCGTATGCAACGAGGAACTGATGATGGACTTAATACCGGTCGACATCGTGGTCAACACCCTCGTAACCGCCGCCTGGCACACGGCCGCCTACAGAACGAACGAAATTCGCGTCTACAACTGCACGTCGAGCCAAATCAACGGGATCTCGTGGAAGAACTTCGGCCGGCTCACCCAGAAGTACGCCGTACAGTACCCGAGCAAGTACATCAGCTGGTATCCCGGATTTACGTATCGCACGAATCGACTGATGCACTGGATCTGCCACACCTTCCTGCACTACACCCCCGCGTGCATTTTCGACGCGTTCCTCTACTGCACCCATCACAAGCCCATGTGAGTACCCCCACCCTCGCAAAACCGTAAATTTCAGACGGGAGATTTTCAGCAGCATGCTGAAAATATGCCGCAAAATCGCGCGCGCGGCGAAAAACGGCGAATTCTTCGCGCTCAACGAGTGGCACTTCCACACGGACACCACGAAGGACCTCGTCCGGGCGGTTAAACGCACCGAGGACGGTGAAAATTTCCGCATTGATCTAAGCGAGGACGGCGGTTTCGTCTGGGATCCCTACGTCAAAACTTATCTGCTCGGAATACGCAAGTACATTCTCAAAGACGACCTGAGCAGCCTAGGCCGAGCGAAAATTAAACTGAGAAGGTAAGAGGCGAACGCGGTCTTTTTCATTGGCTAACGCGAACCAATTGCAGGCTGTACTGGATTAATAAACTCGTCCAGTTCATTACGTTGTACGGGTTCGTTAAGCTTCTGCTATGGCGATGACAATTAGGCTAAGTTTGTACTTTTTGTAATTCTTATGTTATTCACAAATAAAGATTGCTATTTATTCGAGTGCCATATTTGAACGTTAGGGGGAGGGGGCAGGCCGTTTTAAAACCTGAAAGGATTTAGAACAACCTCTAAGATGTAGAAAATCCTACAGTGAATCTAGCAAGCTCTGAAGATCAAGAGAGAACAAAAGAGCGACAAGTAGGAGGCACAAGGTGACGGTATAAAATCAAAACAAGTAAAAAGGTTTTCGAGTAACTTCAGCACATTTTCCATAAATTGATCAATACTTCCCCAAAGGCCATACCTATGTGCGCTATGTTTTTCATTACTAGAGGCATGCGCAGTTGATATTGCGCGTCCTGCGCATGCGCTTATTAATCTGATATTTACAATATGCAATACGTTTGCTTTTACTAAAAAAGTTAACATTGCGCAGTTCAATCGTCAAGATTTTCCTCGACTCAGGTGCCAGAGCGATAGGTACGCTACCGAATGCAAAAAGAACAAACTAAATATCTTAACAACTGTAGGAGTAGTTAACGCCTCGGACAGACGGACGGACAGAGAAAGTGGCTGCAATAGCGCACCCAACTTCGTTGGAAAATGCGCTACAAAGGAAAGAAAATAAAAAACGAAAGTAGTGGAAAAAGGTGGAAGATAGGAGAGGAGAGGAACAAGAAGAAAGACGCAAACAGTTCAATAGGGAAGGACGATGAAAGAAAAGAGAGGGTAGCAAAGGCCAGAAGAAATCGGAAGGAGACGGGGATGACGGAAAATCGACTGCACCAAAATTTCTCGGGAAAACCCTTTTTCTTATTAATTTGGGTGCGTACAATCCAAATCAATTCGTACTTTTTCGATCAGACTTCTCAATCAAAAGTTATAGACTAGAAACCAATTTCGAAAGAAAATTCAAAGGGCTGCAACTTTTGAACTAGTAGCCCAATCTTGGAACTGTTTGAAATTATGGATTCTACAGGCCACATTCTATAAGAAAATTTTTTTTCCGGGTCGATCTGAGACAATTTTTTTTTCGGGGCTCAAAAAAAGGCAGTGTATAAACCTTCCTTTTTTACCAAAAATCGACTGCACCAAAATTTCTCGGAAAAATACTTTTTCTTATTAATTTTGGTGCGTAGAATCCAAAACAATTCGTACTTTTTCGATCAGACTTCTCAATCAAAAGTTATAGACCAATTTCGAAAGAAAATTCAAAGGGCTGTAACTTTTGAACTAGTAGCCCAATCTTGGAACTGTTTGAAATTATGGATTCTACAGGCCACACTCTATAAGAACATTTTTTTTCCGGGACGATCAGAGACAATTTTTTTTTCGATGCAAAAAAAAGGCAGTGTATAACCTTCCTTTTTTCCAAAAATCGACTGCACCAAAATTTCTCGAGAAAACACTTTTTCTTATTAATTGTGGTGCGTAGAATCCAAAACAATTCGTACTTTTTCGATTAGACTTCTCAATCAGCTCGCTCGGCTAAATAAACGGCTCGTCCATAAAGACCCAATTTATGTACTTGATATATAAATAGCTATTATGAACAATGTGCACTATTAAATTGTTTACATTGAAGTAAACAACGTGCCGCTATCGTATCACCTTATGCGCATACCTGGACATACATCATTGATAGAAGGGAAATTCAAATTACAATTGAGGTTCTGACAGTATCTCCTTTAATGCTTCCAAGGCGCTCTGGAAAGACATTAGAAGCTTCAAAGATGGTGCTACTGGTGCAAATAGAGCTCTCACACGACGCTTTGAGATAACCCGCCGTTTGCAACCGTTCCCGTAGAAATATTTAAACTGTTTTTACAGCCGTCGAAAAATCTTTCTTGCCTGGGAAGAAGAGAGTGAATCAATCTTAGTTTTAGCCATTAAACCCGACAAAATCGTATAGTTTATGGAAATATGATAGGAGACCCCGCCGTTTGACCTCACGTTCCAGAGAACAAAAGAAGATCACCCGATTACTGCACTGACAAATTTGGATAAGTATAATTAACCGTATATGAATGCGTCACAGCAACACCCTCTCTTTTTGACACTATTAACCTACCCAGACTTTTTCGCAGCTTTTCAAATGCCTCCTAATCTGTGGACGTCTCTGCGTCTTTTGGGGAATTTCGAAAGGCCACTTCAAATACTGTACGAGTGTCGAGTTGTCGGTAATTCACACCCTAACTAAAGGTGGGAAAAAACGTGATCAGAGATTGCGGAATTTGTCGTTTATACTTTGCAACTTGCAAATTTACATCCTACTTAACTATTCATACGTGTAATTAGCTACATTGTAACAAAATACAGATTAACATTAAGCAATTGCAGAATGTGGATCAGTCTACACCCAACAATCGCCCAGAATGATTCGAAAAATCTCCCAGGCGTAAGTAACCACCACCATAACGTTCGATCCACCGACGTCAGTTTAACCTTTTGCAGATGCGCGACGCCGTCGTCGATTTCGCAATTTTACGAAAACGCGAACGTTTTGCTTACGGGAGCGACTGGATTTTTGGGGAAGGTCTTCATGGAGAAACTGCTGAGGTCGTGCAAATCGATTGGTAACGTCTACGTGTTGATTCGGCCTGGGAAGAACTGCACGGCCGAGGAGCGTCTCGAGCGGCTCCTCCAGGCTGAGGTGCACTTCGTCACGAATCCGGCTCGATTTAACGATCACTTGCAGGTTTTTGAGAATTTGCGACGTACAGCTCCGGAGGCGCTCCTGAAGGTCAAGGCGATACCCGGCGATGTCGAGCAAGAAAACTTGGGACTAACCCGGCCGGATCGGGAGACGATCACGGAGCGGGTCGAGGTGGTTTTTCATTCAGCTGCACTCATCAAGTAACTCCCCCCGATTTCTGAGCCGAGAGCTTAAGGGTTGTTTTAGATTCAATGCCGATTTGCAAAGCGCAATCTCTGCAAACGTGGCGGGCACTAAGCGCGTAACGGATCTCTGTACCCAAATCAGGAACTTGCGCACTTTCGTGCACGTTTCAACTGCGTACAGCAACGCCAACAGTCGAGAAATTGAGGAGAAGATTTACGACACCAGGCACGATCCTGACGATATCATAAGCCTAGTTCGGAGCTTACCATCTGCAACGTTAAACGAAATAACGCCTCAGATTATTGTAGGTATTTTTCCGTGTTGTTGTCTTCCAGGGGGGTTTTTCAGGGGGCTCATCCGAACTGCTACACGTTTTCGAAACAGCTTGGCGAGAAGTGCATCGCGAAATCGCTCGGTTCATTGCCCGCCACCGCAATTCTACGCCCGTCCATTGGTACGTAACGCTTCGGCGAGTACTTATGCGTAACCAACCCCGTTTTTGTAGTCTCTCCGTCGTGGCGTGAACCGTTACCAGGTTGGATCGACAACGTAACCGGCGTTGCCGGTGTTGTAATGGAGTTCGGGCGCGGCGCGCTTAAAAGCGGCATCTGCGAACCGCGCTTCACAGCCGATTTGATTCCAGTCGACGTGGTCGCTAACGCTCTACTTACGGCGGCGTGGCACACTACCATTCCTAGTCCTCGAGAGTTAAACATTTACAACTGTACAAGCGGCGACATCAACCAAATTACGTGGGGAAAGTTTGTCGATCACATCAAGCGACACGCGGTTGCGTACCCCAGCAAGTACGTAACCTCGTACCCGAATTTCACGCCGAGAACCAACCGGACCACTCACGCGATCGCTCACTTCTTCCAGCACATAATTCCCGCTTACTTACAAGACATAGCTCTGTATATAACCGGTGGAAGGCCAATGTAAGTCTTGCTGGCTCAAAATTTGGGGGACTAACTTCGTTTGTAGAATGGTGAAGACCTGCAAAATCGTCGCGGAGGCGGCTCGCAGAGGGGACTTCGCGACAATCACCCCTTACAAATTTAAGGCGGACAATTTTAATAAGCTGATCGACAGCGTAAATAAAGCGGACGATGGCAAGCTATTTCAGATCGACTTTCGACCGGGGTCCGGATTCGACTGGGATAAATATCTAAAGGGCTACATGTTGGGGATTAGGAGGTTTATACTGAAAGATGGTTTAGACTCCCTCGAGTATTCCAAGTGTAGACTCAATCGGTAAGGTAGAAACCTGTAAAAAGGACTGACTGACGCGTGGGTTTCAGCTTGTATTGGACCTCCAAAGTAATGCAGTTGGCGTTCGTAAGTTCCGTCATCGCATGGACTGTATGGTGAGCCGTCTCTACGGTTACTAGAAAATCAAGTGTTTAAAAATAAAATAAGTAAAGGTGTTTAATGGTAAAATGAGCACTAAATGTTAAAACAACAATACAAACATTTAGAAAATAATGAAAATGCAATGTCAACTTCGGATAACAGGTTTGCCTCTTTCGCTATCGTACGTATAAATAAATAATTTGAATTACGAATAAATAAGATTTGATCGACATATAAAAAAAATGTAGAGCAAGAGAGAGCCGAGTGTCACGTTCTAATCTACTGAGTATTTCTTAGTAAAAAATAATATACAGTCTTTTTCTTAAATTATAAAACCGATAACAAATTAATTATTATAAAGCCTAGATCTGTACAAATTAGCTACAAAAAAGCTACTTGATCCAAAATGAACACAATACGAGCAGCTATACGTTAACAATTAAGACGTCCGTTCTAACTTACCTATACAAGAGGTTTGTGAATACTGTTAGGTACGCATTCGGTTACGTAGTTCCTTGTTTAAATGGATCCTCACAGAGGACAGGTGCGTGTAAGTACTATCTGATCTCGAGCTGGAGACCGATGCTGGGATCGGGCAGGCAGGTTCCGCAGAAACCTCCGCAGACTCCCGTCACCCCTCTCTCCTATCAAAGCGAAACTGTGGTTAAAATCGGTCGTGGTACAGCTCGATTGTTCCTCGAAAAGGCATGAGAATTTCAGTGTAGGCCCGCCTCCCTTCGTTTATTGTTCAGTTAATGTACAGGGTGGCCAAATAAGAATGCGAGGTACTGTATTTGGGAACCTATCCATCGTAGAGGCTTGCGGTAAAAAAATTTATTACTAAAACGGCCACGAGAAAAACCTGGAAAATATTTTGAAGTTTCTGCAATGGCCGCTAGGGGGCGTAACTGCAATCTGGAATCTAAAAAAATGATTTTTCTGTGAATCGATTGCGCTTCGTTTGCGCACAATTGCATTTTGTTTGCGCGCTGTCGATTTCAAAATTACGAAAGAATCAAATTCGGGGGGACCAACCTCACGACTGCCCCCCAGGTTTACAAATTTCACTTTTTTTTCTTGTTAACGTTTGCGCTTCGTTTGCGCTACCAATACCAGTACAATTAAGGCCTCGGACAGACGGACGGACAGAGAAAGTAACTGCAATAGCGCACCCAACTTCGTTGGAAAATGCACTAAAAATGTCAAATTTGTAAAGATGTGGGGCAGTCGTGAAGTTGTCCCCCCCCAAATTTGATTCCTTCGTAATTTTGAAACCGGCAGCGCGCAAACAAAATGCAATTATGCGCAAACGTGCGCAAACGAAGCGCAATCGATTTCAATCACGAAAATTATTGCTTTCTAAAGTTGGGGGGCCAAGTTCACACAGGTCTAAAAATGAAGTGATGGGGGGTATTCAAAGGTTTCTGTAAAGAACACCCTATATCTTCGAAACGGCTGGGCCGATTTAAACAAACTCGGGTGAATTCAAGAGAGCTATTCTTCAGCTACAAATATTATACTATTTGAAGTTTTGTTAGTTTCACATATCACCGCTTGAGGGCTTTTATCGACATCCCGACAGAAATGGTTAATTTTCTCAAAAAAATTAAATGCATTGGTGCGATTTTTTTTCATGAAAAAGTACCTAAATTATACCTAAACAATCTCGCGAAAACAGCATCTCGATATCTTGATATATATATATTTTTATATCGTGATTTCGAGCATTTACGGCGGCATTAAAAGCTTCCTTTTTTAAAGCGATCCACCTTAGGGACACAAATTATATAATAAAAATAATTCCGGAAAAATTAGCTTAAAAAAATAAAATTTTGAGAGTACAAAATTTCATTTGGCCTCAATTTTAGGTTAGGAACAAAATATCGAGATGCGGTTTTCGCGAGCTAGTTTAGGTATCATTTAGCTACTTTTTCAGTTAAAAAAAATCAAACCAACGCATTTAAATTTTTTGAGAAAATTAACCATTTCTGTCGGAATGTGGAAAAAAGCCCTCAAGCGGCGATATGCCAAACTAACTAAACTTCAAATATTATAATATTTGTAGCCGAAGAATAACTCTTTTCAATTAACCCGAGTTTGTTAAAATCGGCTCAGTCGTTTCGAAGATACAGGGTGTTCTTTACGGAAACCTTTGAATACCCCCCACCACTTCATTTTTAGAGATACAGGAAAAATTGTCAAACAAAAATTGTTCAGATTATCGTCAACTTCAAAGACCGGACATTTTTTTGTTAGGTTAATATAGCGGAATTCACAGAAAAATCATTTTTTTAGATTCCGGATTGCAGTAACCCCCCCTAGCGGCCATTGCAGAAACTTAAAAATAATTTCCAAGTTTTTCTCGTGGCCGTTTTAGTAATAAATTTTTTTACCGCAAACCTCTACGATGGACAGGTTCCCAGATACATTTGGCCACCCTGTACTTATAGTCCATCCGTTATTACTATTCCGATATGTAATTAACCCCACTAAATGCAGCGTATTTTTACTTCACGTCGTCGATTTAATATAAATAATTCTCTCAAACAAACTGCAACGCGTTATTGTTGACGTGCAGAATAAACAAAGTAAGGTACCGCAACGGTTAAGCGATTCTAGCTCGTATCGCTTACGTTAAAGAATGTTTATTGAAGTGAATTTCGCTTGCATGGCATGGCATCAAGTAGGAGTAAACAACATTGCTGTAAACAAAAACTGGATGCAAGCGAAATTCAGTTCAATTAATTTGACGTAAGCAATACGATTTAGAATCGATTAACCGTTGCGGTACCTTACTTTGTTTATTCTGCACGTCAACAATAACGACGTGCAGTTTGTTTGAGAGAATTGTTTATGTTTAAATCGACGACGTGAGGTAGAAAAAGTTAACGCTGCATTTAGTGGGGTTAATTACGTATCGGAACAGTAATCACAAATGGACTATAGTAGTAACAGTCGGTGTATTAATAAAATTCGCCAAGTTGTTTTAAGGCAGTCGTCGCGCGTAGAGTTTCTTTCCGAATGCTTTCCCACTCACTCACTCATGCTTCTTCGAGGACTAAACGAGCTTGTACAAACCTTTGTTCGAATTTGCGCGCTCGCTTTATGGCCGTTGTGAATCCACCGTACACTTTCCGCCAATCGAAACGAAGTGTCGGTGAGATTAATCGAGAATCGGCCGCGCACGCAGCCCTCCCGCTCGCTGAAGCAATCGCCGGCAGTTCCGTACGGAATTTTCTTGCCGTTCTGCCTGGAGAACGTGAAATCGTCGGCTACAAGTACGCAATGACGTCATCTCGCCCGTGCCGGCGTCGTAACTTACCGATTATCCGCAAGGAGGTGACGTTCAACCGTACCTTCCAAAACGAGGTGTAGCCGGCGCGATCGGGCCCTAGCGGCACGCAGTCGCAGTCGTCGCCCCTGTCGATCGGCGGACACGAGCCGCGATCGTTGAGGCTCCGATCGTACATCTCGGCGAAATTCTCCTGTTCGAATTTGAGGCTGATGAACTCTTCGGGCTCGGGAGTGTCCATCTTGTAGCAGTAGATCTGCGCGGTCCTGTTGCTGAGCGTTATGTAGTAGTCCTTGTTCGCGCTCGTCCGCTGGTAGTGTTTGATTTCCCTGCAATTCCTGTACAGGCAGATGTGCTTGTTGCACTTCCGCTTCTTTCTCGGTTTCAACTTCTTCGAGCATGCGCCGCGATCGATTCGCTTGCCGTCGCGGCTCACGCAGTACAAGTTCCGAAATTGGCGACCTTTCTTTCCGCAGGGATGAGAGCACTGCAATTTGCGAGAGATTAGGGGGAAAAGCGGGCCGAGGACAACTAAATACTTCGCTCCACTTTCCGACTGACCACGAATACACGTCGTCGCAGTTGTTGTCGAGGCATCTCTGCGTCGTTGCGGGTCGCGAGTGTAACTCGCAGTAGTGGGATCTGATGTGCGGGTACAAATCGGGAAGGGGCGCCGGATCTACTAGACCGCCTTTAAGTACTTGATGGCAAGTGACGTTGCGGTGTTTAAATCCCTCGCCACAAGTTTGAGAACACTGCAGGAAAAGGTATGCTCATTACTAACACCTGCAGTGTTGTAATATTGTACCTACCTGCGACCAGACACCTTCCAACCACACGTAGTTGCAATTAGTCCGCTCACAATCCTGCGTAGTCTTCGGTTTTCTTAATCCGCTACAGAATTCGTCGACGACGGTCACGGCATTTACCGTATCGATGCAGCGAATGATCCTAGTTCTCGTTCCCTTTCCGCACGTGTTCGAGCACTGAAATTCTCTTTTACTCAAAGTGCAAAATTAACGGTAAACGGCAATACCAACCCTTCCCCAATGCTGATACTTCCACCTGTAGCGCTTTTCCGGGGACGGATTGCGAGTGTCCACGGTGTAGTAGTTCCTCTTGTCGTTCACCACCGTTCGTATGCAATGGGCGCTGTTACACACGGACGACTTGTGCGGTTTCTGCTTCAAGTCGCACTGATCATCTTCGACTATGTCACCTGCGCTTGTGTTACAGTCGAAAGCCGAGCAGAGTTGAGACTTACCGGTGGAAGTCTGGCAACTGACTTGTCGATGTTGCAAGCATTTTAAATCGCACTCGCTCCAACCCCCGAAGTTCCACTTGGGACACGGATGCACATTGCACGCGACAACGTTCACGGGGACCTCCCTCCGATCGCACTCCGACACATCTTCGTTCCCATACTTGTTCCGGCAGACGACCATTCGTGACTTAGTACCAGTGCCGCAGCTTTTCGTACACTAAAAAACGCACAAATCAAGAAGAAGCGTGGCGCAAAGTGACAACCAACCTTACTCCACGCAGCCGTAACCCATTTGTACCCCAAGTTGTCTCGTGAAAAAAAATGGAGGAAATTCTCGTAATCGTTCCCCCTATGCGGAAAATACTCCTAAAAACAACATCAACAATTCCAGGGATGCACAAAGGACAACAACGGACGAACCTCACATTTCGATTTGAAACAACTTTTGGTAACGTTAGGCTTGAGGAGATAATCGCAGAAGTCGTCGTCGATCGGGCCCGAATCGACGACGCGGCAATGCACCTCGCGCCTCTGCGCGCCCTCCCCGCACGTCGCGTTACACTCGCCCCACGGGTCCGCCGACCAATACACGCAGGGCCGATGACTGCACTCCTTCTCGATCGTCAGCGCCTTCTGCGAGTGCTGCAGTCTCACCTTTTCCGCGCCGACGATCGGAAGATCGTTCGGATCGCAGGCGCTGATGTTATGAATGTGACCGTCCACGTTGCAGTAGCAGGGCCGAGTTTGAACGCCGGTGCCGCACGAGACCGAGCACTAGGTGAGAATTATCGACTGCCGAAAATACGACTCGGGTACTCACCTGGTTCCATTCGTCGCACGCCCACAATGGGCACATGTGATTGTTACAGCTTTGCCTGACATTTTTTTCCTCGCTATTGCAATGCAGATTGCTAATACGTTGATTGTTACGGTCCAAGCAGATGGCGCTTCTCATCTGAGAACCGCCGCCGCATGTCGCGCTGCATTCCGACCAGCTATCGTACTCCCAATGATTGGACGGGCACAGTCCGAGGCACTCCTCCGTCTCGGATGGCTTAGGTAAAATGGCGCAGTGCTTGTTATTGACCGGTACCTGATCGTGCGAGTACAGATTTTCCACTTTGACGCAGTTGTAAAATATGGGCCGCAGCCCTTTGCCGCATTGCGACGAGCACTGGCCGCGCGAGGTTATGTTCCATAGGAACTGGCAGTGAGTATTGCAGTCTTTCTGTTGAACCAAGTTGTTTATCTCCGAATCCGAGCAGTAGTTCTCGTGGACCCGATGCGTGGTGCCTAGCTCGATGCAGTAGGGGCGAAGAAACTTCTTGCCGCTACACATCGAGCTGCACTTGGTCCAGTGCTCCGAGTCCACCTGCCAACCGTACCTGCAATTTGACATTTGAGGATCTCCGCAAACGCACGTCACCTGTACCTGGGCGCTTCGTTGCTCTTAATCGTGTAGCGGTAACGGATGTCCGGTGGATGCAAGCGTCCCACTGATAGCACCTCGAGCACGAGGTCTTTGGCCAATCGAAGGTTTTTGGGGGTTTTTATGTACTCGACGATCTCATCCGAGCCGCTATACGTGATTGTCATACCGCCGAAAGGCACCTCCTTCAAAAACTGGGACACGACAAAGTTCCCATTCAAAAGATAGGCCCCGGTCTCTCCGTCGACCAGTGCTGAACAAATGACAATCGGTTTAAATCGCCAATCTCCGCGCGCTTACCTAGGAAATTATCGTCGGCGTTGGTGTTCTCGTAACCCCGCTGCGAGATGTGCAAATTCGAGCTGCCTTTGGGTAATCGGACCACGCGAGTGTAACCGTAGGCGCTTATGTTGTAGGTGCCGGTGATCTCCTCGCACTTGCTATTGTCGCCGCCGCACACGCCGCACTCGTCGAGCGTTGTCGGTGAATCGAGCCGATTATCGCAACCCGCGTGCTTGCAAATGCCATTCACGCAAATATCGAATGTGTTTAGGCCGCATTTCGTGCCGTCGATCACTTTATCTTTCAGCATGTAATACGAGGTGGAATGCTTCACTCTGCAGTACAATTTGCAGAAATCATCCGAGCTCTCTGCAACATCAGTGAGTATCTGTAGTTTAAAGGTCGACACACACTTTGGCGAAGCGCGTTTTTCGCGGATACACCGCGCTTCGCTCAAGTGGGCGTTGGCCTTTATACAGTCTAAAGGTTCACCCAAACCAACGCGGGAATGCGGGCACGTAAACGGTACGATTGCGGGATATGCAAGTATGCATGCCGATGCGGCGGTTCACACGCAAATACCGCATCCGTACCGCTCCCGTATTCCCGCGTCGGTTTGAGTTGACCTTAAGAGGCAATTTTTCATGTTTCCATACAAGTCTGTGGTTTACAAAGTGTAAGGTAACTACTAGGATCTACAGCTCTTGTATTCCTCGAAGAAGCGTGAGAATTTCAGTGTAAGCCCGCCTACTAGATGGGCTCATGGGCCTCCTTACGCTGAAAGTATCACGGAACATTAAAATAAAATTTTCTTTATGACAAATCCAAATGCCAAATGAAAATGGTCATTCATAATTGATGTAAAATGAGCAGAATTCCCTCGTTTACTGTTTAGTTAATGCACTTAGTAGTAAGAGTCAGTGTAATAATATTTGCCAAGTTGTTTTAAGGTAATCATCGCGCGTAGAGGTTATCTTTTTCATTCCGAATGCTTTCCCACTCGCTCGCTTTGCGCATCGAGTGAAATTCTCAAGCTTCTTTGAGTAATAAACAAGCCTTATGTTCAACCGAGAGGTTGTTGCTGAGTAAACTTACCCATGCCATACTTAGGTATCCACTTAACCTCGTCCGACAATCCGCGAATTCCCTTCGTCATTCCGTCGAACTCGGCGCACTGCACCTCCCTTAAATTAAAAACAAACAAAGAAACGTGTTTTGATTACAAACTTGTGACATAAAATTAATAATGGGGCGGTTAAAGTGAGACGGAAGCGATCAAGATCTAATTACCTAAAGTCGCGCAATTCGGAATCGCACGGAAGATAATTGCAGGAGGCGTAGCGCACGTTTTTTCCCTTGCAGTAGGCGCCGCCGTTCGTCGGCGGTGGCGAATCGCAATTGCGTTTCGACATCTTAACGCCGCCGCCGCAGGTTCGCGAACAAAAGCCCCACCTAGCGGCAAAGCGTCAAGGTTGAGAGTGACAAGTGGGTTACTTACGGCATCCACGGTCCCCAACCGCCTTCGACCGGCTCCAGCAGATTACGATTGTTTGGAATGCACTCCCCGTGGTGGCACCAGCTGAAACCCAAAATGAATCGCGCGAACTCCGAGAGCGATTTTACCTGGACTCCCCGCACTTGGTACCGTCGGCCCATGGCATGTGCTGCGTCTTGCACCCCTCCATGTCCTCCCTCGTGCACCATAAGCTTCCACAGGAGGCCTGCGACTCAAAAATTATACCGCGCGCCGCAATAATCGCCGCTACTCACAATTTCGAATGGGCACAGCTTGTAACCGATCCCGAACTCGAGCTCGCACTGACGATCGACCTTGAAACGTTCGCCGGGCAGTCGCTGTATGAACTGGGACGTGATGATGTCTCTGTTCGGCTCGTCGAAAAGACACGACGACTTGCTCGATCTGCGAACGTCAACGTGAGCGCGTCGTGTGCCTCGCGACCTTTGCGCAACTTACTCGAGAAAGTCGGTGAGATAGTGCCTCGAGCACGCCGACCACAGCCACGGTTTCGTGTCGTTCTGCAAGACCTTGCTCATGATGTTCGCCTTTTCGCCCTTGTTGTATTTCACGCACTTGTCGTCGTCGTCGTGCGGCATGCTGAGAAAAATTAAAGTTTTTAGTGGCCGAAAAAGGACGACGAGTTCCTTCGGCTCGCTCGGCATTTGTAGGCGTGGTCTTAAGTGATCAGATTTGCTCTGCGGGCCATTTCGTAAAAGGCTACACCAAAGTCGGGCGAGGCGAATACTTGACGTAAAATTAAAAATCACACAACTCGGGAATAAAGGGGCTCAGTAGTAGGCGTAATAGATAAATGGAGCTGTGATCCTACCATAATGAGGGCGGTAAATTAATGTAATTTAAAATGTAAGATGCGCTTTTCGCGAGCTTGTTTAGGCATCATTTAGCTACTTTTTAATGAAAAAAAAATCAAACCAACGCATTTAATTTTTTTGAGAAAATTAACCATTTCTGTCGGAATGTCGAAAAAAGCCCTCAAGCGGCGATATGTGAAACTAACAAAACTTCAAATATTATAATATTTGTAGCTGAAGAATAATTCTTTTCAATTAACCCGAGTTTGATCAAATCGGCTCAGTCGTTTCGAAGATACAGGGAGTTCTTTACGGAAACCTTTGAATACCCCCCACCACTTCATTTTTAGAGATACAGGAAAAATTGTCAAACAAAAAAGGTTCAGATTATCGTCAACATCAAAGACCGGACATTTTTTTGTTAGGTTAATATGGCGGAATTCACAGAAAAATCACTTTTTTAGATTCCAGATTGCAGTTACGCCCCCTAGCGGCCATTGCAGAAACTTACAAATATTTTTCAGGTTTTTCTCGTGGCCGTTTTAGTAATAAATTTTTTTACCGCAAGACTCTACGATGAACAGGTTCCCAGTACCTCGCATTCTTATTTGGCCACCCTGTACAACCAGTGGAGTTTTAAGGGGCGATAAAAGTAAAACCAGTACCTTAAGACGTGTCCCAGTTCATGCGCAATTATATACGAGGTCGACAGTCCCTTATCTCTGACAATGGCACAGCTCGAATTCGAATTGCACATCGATCCAACTTCGGCGACGCCCAACGTGTTACAAACTTGGGCGGTTAGATTTTTACAAATCGATTCGCTAAAATTAAGCTTTAATGTTCCTCTGGACACTTGCCAGGAAAGCTTACCGAGTAAGTAGAAGCGCCGTATCGTATTGCTTCTGGGTACGTTCGGCGTGCTGCGCCTGCCAGTTGCAGAACTTCTTCAGCATCTCTAAAAAGGACGTGTCAATCACTCGACACCGATTACCTTTTTTAATTACCCACCGTCGGAAGTGTTACTCAGAAACTCGGTCTCCTTCAGCGTGACGATTTCGACGACGGCAAGAGAAATTGGGTTACCGATAGTGGCATGCTTGAAGAGAAGAGCTACCTAGAAATTCCACGTTTAGACGCGCGGGACGATTGGAGAAGGTGAACGTTACATGAGACATCAACGTGAGAATGTAGTGATTGAGGTCCTCGTCGGTGTTGTGGTATTGCGCCATCGTCTTGTCGGCGACGATCAGTGTTTCTATGTGAAACTCCTGATGGTTGCCCGATCTCGCCTTTGGAGCGATCGGCACGAACTCGATGTTGTCATCTTCGAAGAGGACATCTCTGCGTGGCCTGGATTGCGTCACGTCGCGCTTGTGGACGAAGTGCTTGTACTCCTCCTTGCCGATGAGAAAATCGTCGTCGATGATCGTCGTGTTTTCTGAAAATAGACAAAATCGTCTCAGGTGATACGCCCGGGGCCAATCTCCTTGATTTAGTTATGTATTTATGCATAGTGTAAAAGCGGAGCCGTGCTGTCTGCATAATGCGTTTACCTTTTACTTCGCATAACTCGGTCGACGTCGTTGCGTCCAGGTCGTCCGCCTCTGTCTTGTGCGCCACTTTTTTTATGCGATGCATTATGCTCGCGATCGAGTCGTTGCGAAATTTCTCAACGGGTTCGATGTAGTAATTCCCTTCCGAGGTCCGAATGTATCCGGTCTGCGAAATTTCAAAAACTTAATTAGACGAGGCGTGCTCGAGACCATTTTTCACAAACGCCCCAGCTGTCAGTAGTAAGAGAGGCGTTTGCCAAAAAATATTTTAAAAAAGGTGACAACCACCAATTATAGTTAATGGTCTTTTTTGACAAGATATATCAGGTGCCTGTGTGGCAGACGATTGCCCATAATTGATTAGTAACCCCAAGTTTTAAATCCATTATGACGTCGGCCGCCGCGAGGCAAGGACGCAACCACCCCCTACCGAAGGGAGGCGAGGTGGCCGAGGTACGTTTCTAAAGAATGCCCACAGCGAGACACGAAACCTATACCCAGGTTTTGTCTTGCACCCAGTAAAATGCATAGGTACCTAGGCTTCTCGCACGGTTGCCTATCCTAAGACTGTTGCCAACTGAAACTGGCCATGTGAAAAACATGGATTTTCCAAATTACGATTTATTTATCGACTTTGGGAATGCAAACCGCACTGGAAATTGTTTAACCGTTTAAATTTGAATGCATGAGGATGAAAGGAATCAAAACGTCTTCGCGTATTTCCCAAAAATTGTGGTTTTGATGACGCTCATTAATGTCATCGCTCATCACCACAAGGCGGGTGCCATTACAAAGGGTTTATGTTCCGCAACATAATGATTAGCGGAAGAACTTTTAATTGCAGTGTATGTGGTGGTAATCCGGGCAATTCAGGGAATTTTTTATGGATATCTATCCATACCGACCTGTTAAACATTTGTCAAAGGCGCAAATTGTAAAAAGAGCGTTTAAATAATCGTTAAGTTTTCTGAAGTTTTCCAATTTTCAGCGCAATTTTCCTACTTTTTCTTTCCGTACGAATCTTCTGCACAGTATTAGAAAACACAAAAAAAGACGATTGAAATCGGTAAAGTTATAGCGTGACCACAAGGGAAATAGGGCTTCATTTTTATATATACAGGGTGTCCCCCGTCATCTACCTACTGTAAAAAACAAAAAAAAGAGGGGCCAAACACGGGCGCGATTATTAAGGGAGTCGTTTACAATTAACCGACGGGATTAAGGTTTTTTTTGCCAATGTCCCCCAGTAAGAAGAAGACTTAGCACGTGACAATAAAACTGTCGTCGACTGGAGAGGATCAGTGGCGTATTTACGGGGGGGGGGGGGGGGATGAAGGGGATATATATATCCCCCCCCCCCCCGAAGAATTGAGTTATCATCATAGCTATTAGATATTTAGGTAATACTCCGCTATCCGCTACGCACCCAAATTAATAAGAAAAAGTTTTTTCCCGAGAAATTTTGGTGCAGTCGATTTTTGGAAAAAAGGAAGCCTTTTTTGCCTCGAAAAAAAAATTGTCTCAGATCGACCCGGAAAAGAAATTTTCTTATAGAATGTGGCCTGTAGAATCCATAATTTCAAACAGTTCCAAGATTGGGCTACTAGTTCAAAAGTTACAGCCCTTTGAATTTTTTGTCGAAATTAGTTTTTTGCCCATAAATATACCTAGTATTCAAAGTTTTCGTTGACTAATTAAAGCAAAAGCAATAAAGGGGCCTGTCAGCAGTAAGAAATGAAATACCGTTCTAATCTAATCTTTTTTCGCCTGTACAATAATAAATAGATAAATGACTACCAGCATCAGCAACCTGCAACCCAATTTCTATATCTTACCCCCCCCCTCCCCCCAGAATAAATTTTTCTACGTACGCCACTGGAGAGGATTCCATAACACTCAGACCCCCCGGTAAGAGTGTCATGATAGTTTTTGAGAAAGAGTTACCAGGTTCACCTTCGCTTAAGAAGAAAGTAGCACCGGGGGGCCTGGGGGGTATGGAATACCCTCCAGCACGAAGAAGACTTAACACGTGGCGAAGATTTACAACCGCCGAACTAAGGGAGACTCCACAATCCTTTCCCTATGAGCCTTAGTACCTCTGTAGCTTTTTGGAGATGGAAATCAACTGCGTCGACTGGGGGGTATTCCATACAGGGAGTCTGGGGGGTATGGAATACCCTCCAGCACGAAGAAGACTTAACACGTGGCGAAGATTTACAACCGCCGAACTAAGGGAGACTCCACAATCCTTTCCCTATGAGCCTTAGTAACCTCATGGTAGTTTTTTAGAGATGACAATAAAACTGTCGTCGACCCCCCGGAAAGAGTATCTTGATAGTTTTTGAGAAAGAGTTACCAGGTTCACCTTCGCTTAAGAAGTACTGGAAAGAGAGTGGCACCGAGGGGTCTGGGGGGTATGGAATACCCCCCAGCACAAAGAAGACTTAACACGTGGCGAGGATCTACAGCTGCCGAACTAAGGGAGACTCCACAACGCTTTCCCTGTGAGCCTTAGTAACCTCGTGGTAGTTTTTTGGAGATGGCAATCAAACTGTCGTCGACTGGGGGGTTTTGCATGACATCAAATTATTCATGACTCATTGATTCCATTCGATTGAACTTACAGGTAATTAATGTCATTCCTGCTTTATAGCTTGATTTGAGCTGGCTCGTTTTGAATTTTTTATTAATCGTTTGAACTCTGAATCACGCTGAGTTACCTAGTGATCGATTGATTCGTCCCTGATTATTAAAAGTCGGAAACGAGACCGTTTTGATGGCGAAGTGTACGTTAACCTTAAGCTCGAAATAATCGCATTCAGGTTCAATGCTGCCGTTTCCTTTGCGCGCAAAGGCATCCGGTTTCGCGAATTAGAAAGTCTAATGGATCGCTGCCAAAAACGGCGCAAAGATGGCGGCATAAAGATTTGCACTCTGTGTAATGCACGTGCTTTGAGTATATACGATTTGACATCATCTCGCCAAAAATAATTTATAAAGCGCCGTTAATTTCAAGGTTGAGCGATTTTGTATGCGTTAATGCGGAATTGTGAGCACGTAGTAGACATTTTTTTTTAAAACATACGCAAGGGTGGCACGTGCCGCAAATTGTGCGTGTCTGTTTATACAAAAAGCGCGCGCGCGCGGGAGGAGGATTTTTTAAATGCATTCGCCAGAAGAAGTGTGTCAGTTCGATGCCTAAATGTTTTATTATATTGACGGTTGAACGGTTTAAAGCAGAAGCCTTCAAGTACAAATATTTAGATAGGCCACTGATCGAAAGCAAGTGTACGGAAGCTAAAATTACGGCGATTTCCAAATCTCAATTTACATAATTTGAAGTAGTAGAACACGAGACGCAAACGAGGGGCCAAAGATGGGCGCGATTATTAAGGGAGTCGTTTACAGTTAACCGCGGGGTTAAGGTTAACGCACTTCGTTTTTTTGCCAACACTAGTAAATATTTATTTACGTCTGCGGTTGCGGTACAGAAAAAAAAACTGGGAAGATTCCCAGGCGTGACAATGAATTTATGTCCATTTACGTTTGTATTATGCACGTTTTAATTATTTGCAAAAAACGTCCTTCTACTTTTTTTCCCGTGAGAAACGCCGCGACGCGTATTTAAAAAAAAACGCTATTTTTAGTTTTTTATTTCGGACGTAAAAACTAAATCGATTTTTAATAGTTGGACCATCTGCAATTTTATCATCAAAGAAAAAAAGGCACGCTTCCGTCCTAAGTGATTTTTCATTTTTCACCTTTCAATTGGGCGAATAAGTTTTTTGCGAGCCGCCCACACCGCTGACCTTTTTGAGTTCAATGAAATGTAATTACCCAAAGACAATTGTGTAGGAGGAACCAGCGTCTGGCAAAATTTCAATTTCACTCACCATTCCGTTGCACAGGGAGACGGCAACGTCGGAATTTTTCTCGCCTTTAACCTTCCCCGTGTAGAAGCAGCCGCTCGCTTTGGGATCGTGCATCGCCCGCCTCGTGTAGTTCTCCCAAACGTGCGTCACCTTAAAACTCAAAATTACTTTGGAAAAAGCGAGGCGTCGCCGAAAGGCTCACCTGGAGGTTCGGCGAGACGAACTTGTAGTTGAACGACAGCTCCAAGACGAGCACCTGCCCGAACGCTTGGATCTCGTACTGGGGATGGGGGTCCCACACTTCGGCGGCCGTGTGCCGAAAATGTCCGCTGTGGTGCCTCAAAATCGGATGATCTACGCACAGTGCAAAAGAAACGGGGCGAAATTATCGACGCGCTTACCCTCGTTGTCGTGCAGCTGATCGAAGATGAGATCGTGATCGTGAAGCGGCGGATCGATCTTGATCGGCCTCACCAGCTCCATGCTGTGCCTCCCCAGATCGTCCAGGTGCGAGTTCTTCAGAATTTCCACTCCTGAAAGGAAGACGTCATGTTTCAATGTTGCAAATTTGGGCCAAGATTATGGGTCGACATTAAATTAATTGGCCGAACGCGATTTACATTGAACGCCTCTTCCAGCAGCTGTCGCCGTCCGTTTTAATGGCACTTAGGAACACTTGTACGAGAATGTCACTTTGATTGTATTTTTGCTACACAAAAAAATCGACAAATGTCGCGGATAATTGGCCACATTCAAACAGACGGTGGAACACAACAAAAACATTTGCGACTCGTTCGTTATGCACCCGTTTTGCGCTCTCCCTCGTATCAAAATATTACGAAATAGTGTCCCATTTCGCGCCCACAAAATTACCGTTTTCATTAAAAAGTCAACCCAATGCGGGGAGAGAGCCTATCCAAAAAAGTGCTTTCGATTTTGATGATGATGGTTCTAGCCTTCTGGGGACACACATGTATTTTTTAAACCTTTTACCTGAAAAGTCATAGATAGCCTTGGAAAGCCTTTAAATGTACAGGGTGGCCAAATAAGAATGCGAGGTACTGTATCTGGGAACATGTCCATCGTAGAGGCTTGCGGTAAAAAAATTTATTACTAAAACGGCCACGAGAAAAACCTGAAAAATATTTTTAAGTTTCTGCAATGGCCGCTAGGGGGCGTAACCGCAATCTGGAATCTAAAAAAGTGATGTTTCTGTGAATTCCGCTATATTAACCTAACAAAAAAATGTCCGGTCTTTGAAGTTGACGATAATCTGAACCTTTTTTGTTTGACAATTGTTCCTGTATCTCTAAAAATGAAGTGGTGGGGGGTATTCAAAGATTTCTGTAAAGAACACCCTGTATCTTCGAAACGGCTGAGCCGGTTTTAACAAACTCGGGTTAATTGAAAAGAGTTATTCTTCGGCTAGGTACAAATATTATAATATTTGAAGTTTTGTTAGTTTCACATATCGCCGCCTAAGGGCCTTTTTAGACTTTCCGACAGAAATGGTTAATTTTCTCAAAAAAATTAAATGTGTTGGTTTGATTTTTTTTTCATAAAAAAGTAGCTAAATGATACCTAAACAAGCTCGCGAAAACCGCATCTCGATATCTTGCTCCTAACCTAAAATTTAGGCCAAAGAAAATTTTATACCCTCAAAATTTTATTTTTTTAAGCTAATTTTTCCGGAATTATTTTTATTATATAATTTGTGGCCCTAAGGTGGATCGATTTAAAAAAGGAAGCTTTTAATGCCGCCGTAAATGCTCGAAATGCTGGCCATCAAGATATAAAAAAAAATGTATATATATCTCAAGATATCGAGATGCTGTTTTCGCGAACTTGTTTAGGCATTATTTAGCTACTTTTTCATGAAAAAAAAATCGGACCAATGCATTTAATTTTTTTGAGAAAATTAATCACTTCTGTCGGAATGTCGAAAAAAGCCCTCAAGCGGTGATATGTGAAACTAACAAAACTTAAAATAGTATAATATTTGTAGCTGAAGAATAGCTCTCTTGAACTAACCCGAGTTTGTTTAAATCGGCTCAGCCGTTTCGAAGATACAGGGTGTTCTTTACAGAAACCTTTGAATATCCCCCACTACTTCATTTTTAGAGATACAGGAAAAAGTGTTAAACAAAAATTGTTCAGATTATCGTCAACTTCAAAGACCGGATTAGGTTAATATAGCGGAATTCACAAATACATCACTTTTTTAGATTCCAGATTGCAGTTACGCTCCCTAGCGGCCATTTCAGAAACTTAAAAATATTTTCCAGGTTTTGCTCGTGGCCGTTTTAGTAATAAATTTTTTTACCGCAAGCCTCTACGAGGGATAGATTCTCAGATACAGTACCTCGCATTCTTAATTGGCCACCCTGTACAAGGTGCCCTATTTTCGAAACTTTTATAGGGAGTCCCATTAATTGTTTAATTTTATTTAATTATAAAAAAAGTTATAATAGGCGTCACGCGCTCATTTTTGGGTCAAACCGAGGGTCAAACTATTCAATCGCATAAGAGATACGGGGGGAAATCGAAAAAGTGACAATTTCAGAATGACCTACAATTTTCTTTCCAAGAGAGACAGACAAATATTTCATACAAAAGTTTCTTTATAATGTTAGTTGAATAATCTACCGTTTTCTAAAGAAGTATACGGGTTCAGGAAAAAAAGTTATCGGACATAACCTAATTTTTTTTAATGGAACACTCAGTATATTTTACTCAAGATATTAAACTATCTTTTCAAAGACATCATGGATGATATTAAAATAATTTACTCAAGTGATTTTTTGAATTTTGTTAGAGGTTCAAAAAGATCAATATTAAAAATTATTTTTGAAATTTTTTTAAATAATTTTTTGAATCACCCGAGTCATTTTGTAATATCATCCATGGTGTTTTATATCTTTGAAAAGAGAATTTAATACGTTATCTTTTTAGATTAAAATATACAAGGTGTTCCATTTAAAAAAATGAGGTTAGGTCCGATAACTTTTTTAGCTGACCCCGTATGCTTATTTCAAAAACGGCAGATTATTCCACAATCGTTACAAAGAAACTGTATCTCCTATAACTAAAACAGCCACTCTGTAAATTCCCCCCCCCCCCCTCTCCTGGATGTCTTAAGCAAATTTTTAATTTATCATTTTAAGTTTGACCTAAAACAGCACTAACAACTGCCGAGATTTTGAGAGCTCTTTCTAAAGCGTTCTAGGTCCTTTTCACGAACTGAGAATAGAAAAGAGATAGAAAGCATGGTATAGAAAGCTCTTAAAAGAACAAAGCTCAGACTTAGAACGTTTAAGCGAGCATAAGAAGCCCTAAGGAGGCGGTGGCTTCCGAAGATTTTTAAGTCAATTTGAAAGCTAGGCGAATATAGAAGGGTATGTAGAAGGTTTTTAAGATTCTAGATGACCCCAGACGCAACGGCTCTTCATTCTCCCCCAAAACGTATAATAATCTGGGTCTGGGAGGGGAATGGAATACCCCCCAGTAAAAGAAAGACTGAAAACGTGGAGAGGGTTTAAAACCGCCCACAAAGAGACTCCACATTCTAGTCCATAACTTTTGATTGAGACGTCCGATCGAAAAAGTACGAATTGTTTTGGATTCTACGCACCAAAATTAATAAGAAAAAGTTTTTTTCCCGAGAAATTTTGGTGCAGTCGATTTTTGGTAAAAAAAGGAAGGTTATACACTGCCTTTTTTTGAGCCCCGAAAAAAAAATCGTATCAGATCGACCCGGAAAAAAAATTTTCTTATAGAACGTGGCCTGTAGAATCCATAATTTCAAACAGTTCCAAGATTGGGCTTCTAGTTCAAAAGTTACAGCCCTTTGAATTTTTTTTCGAATTTGGTTTCTAGTCTATAACTTTTGATTGAGAAGTCTGATCGAAAAAGTACGAATTGATTTGGATTCTACGCAACCAAATTAATAAGAAAAAGTGTTTTCCCGAGAAATTTTGGTGTAGTCGATTTTTGGTAAAAAAGGAAGGTTATACACTGCCTTTTTTGGAGCCCCGAAAAAAAAATTGTCTCAGATCGACCGGGAAAAAAATTTTTCTTATAGAATGTGCCCTGTAGAATCCATAAT